AGCTGGAGCTTGAACCGGAACCTGGAGTAGAGCTGGAGCTTGAACCGGAACCTGGAGTAGAGCTGGAGCTTGAACCGGAACCTGGAGTAGAGCTGGAGCTTGAACCAGAACCTGGAGTAGAGCTGGAGCTTGAACCAGAACCTGGAGTAGAGCTGGAGCTTGAACCAGAACCTGGAGTAGAACTCGAGCTTGAACCGGAACCTGGAGTAGAACTGGAGCTTGAACCGGAACCTGGAGTAGAACTGGAGCTTGAACCGGAACCTGGAGTAGAGCTGGAGCTGACAGTGCTAGAAACGGTAGAAGAAACAGAAGATGGAGTAGAGCTTGAACCGGAACCTGGAGTAGAGCTTGAGCTAGCGGTACTAGATACGGTAGTAGAAACTGAGACAGAAGATGGAGTAGAAGAAGAAGAGACGGTAGTTGAAGAAGCAACAGAGGAAGAGGAAGATTGACCACAGTCACAATCCCAACAGTAGTTAGCTAAGTTCAAGTCTTTAGTAGCAATAGAAGTCAAGAAGTTGAAGATATCAAGGATTTCTTGGAATCTTTTAACCTTAACAACATTAGAAGGAGCATTATTGAAGACAGCATCTCTCTTGGTAAAGTCACTGATAGCTTGGGTTGGGTCGAAAGCATTCAAGATATTTTCAACAGTTTGAAGCTTATATTCAATGGTACTTTCAAGAACACTCAAGATAGTATTAAGAAGATCATCTTTAATATCTTTAATTAATTCGATTTTAATACCTAAAAGATCTGGTAAACAACATTTACCTTGTTTCTTACTTGGTTTAACCAAAATTGAGGCAGCCCAGCTAAAAGGATTATCAACAATAGTGGAGTTGATTTTATCAATAATAGTGATAATACCGTCATCAATACCGGTATTAACAATTTGTAAAAGTTGAACCTTGTCTTTAATGATATTAGAAAGGGCATCAGCTTTTTCAGCTTCAAAATTAAGAACAACGTTGAAAACATCGTCTTTAACTTTGAGAACATCTGAAACAACTAAAGCAGCAGCTGGAACCAATGAACCTAAATCTCTTTCTTCAATAACTTCTTCTTCTCTCTTTTTCTTACTTTCTAAAGTAGTAACAAGACCTTTAATGAAACAGAACTTGTCTTCAAGAATACCAGTAATGATATCTTGTTTCAAAGTAAGAGTAGAGTCAATTAATTGTTCTAAGAATTGAAGTTTACCGGAAAGATCAATGGCAGCTGTTGGAGTTACCAATGCACCGGCAATCAAAGCAAAATTAGCAACTTTTTGCAATTTCATTTTTAAAAATTGAAGCGAGTGACTGAGTAGAGATAATGATAATAAGATTAAAAGTTTTTTTGATCAAAATTGCCAGGAATCAATGCAATATTTATATTCATATCGAATTATACTTATTCATGGTAAACTAGAGCTATATGCAACCTACGGGGTTTCCTTTCTTCGCTTTTACTAATTTTTGAACACAAGGGACTATATTTTAAGCCAGCTTTTCAAAAAACAAACAAACAGAATCCAAAATAACTTGACTATTGGATTTGGTGTAGCAAAATTTGAATTATTGCAAAAATAGAAATAAAATACGTGAAAAAATTATCACCAAAAAAAAAAAAAAAGAAAAGAAAGAAAGCTCGCATATTCAGCCTTTAACCCAAATGTGCAATGAAAAGTACGATTCGGGTATCTGAGGTGATAAGGTACGTAACTTACTTTCCTCAGACATGTAAGAAGCTTTAGGAAAGATTTTGAGATATGAGCTTAGTTGCGCCATTCAAGTAGATGCCATTTGAAAAACAAGCGCGAACACAAGAGTACTCCCATCTTGAGGTTTCAACCAAATCAATTGTTCCCATTTGTTGCAACCAGGCCAAACTAAAAGAGTGCCAGATCGAAGAATCTCTGAAAGGGGTCCGATTTCACGTGAGTTCGGTTGATTACGAATTGGTCAAGGAATGTTGGAAGGAACTAATGTTTTTTGTGGAAGCCCTGCAACTCGAAGCCTTAGACTTGAACTAAGCTGTTCTTAGGTTTATTTTTTTTAAGGCTGAAAGGATAAGTTTGTTGTTTGCTTCTTTAGCCTTAAGTGACTTCAAAGCTCAATTACCAAAATATGAGTTATTGTACATAACTCTATAAGATACTTAAATTTCAAAATGGTAAATTAACACTCCTTACAAACTGGACCCCGGTAACAATCAGGAACCTCGTTTAATTTACGGGTTGGGTGTCAAAGTTACAAACTACCTTGCTCAAATGTTCTCTGGAACAATAAAGTTTAGCTCTTTATAATACAACCCATCTTTGTTTTAACGGTCGTATATTTTTTGCTTCTTTTTTTTTGTTTTACTTTATTTTAATCTCCCTTGAGCTCCGTTACTATTATTCAATCGAATAATGGTAAACAAATAGAACCGTGATAGTTGCCTCTGTTTAGATTTTTTTTTACTAAGGTTATTTTTCGGGAGGTTTTTTGTAGGCTGCAAACTGAGCAGCTGAATAAAGCCTCAAAAACTTTCGTATCAAATGTAGATAAAAGCCCTTCTTTTGACTTCATCCCTATCCACTGGACCCAATTGGTATTCTTCTGCCACGCGCCTCGTGGTTTACAATTCGGTGGCCAAACAATAAGAAGAGGCATTTTTTTAATTTAGTAACTAAAATGTTGCCAAAGAAACCTCGGACAAACCTACCGTTTCTTGTTTTTGTTGCACTTGTTTCTGTATTCAAATGCCAAACTTACTTCTTAGTTTTCCACCTGGCGATCTTTAGCCGATAGTCTGAGAAAAGCTCCTACAAATTTTAAGATTGGAAGATTAAGCTTTCAACTAAATTGCCTTCCATACATTTTTTTCTCGACCCTCTGAAAAGTTGCAGCAAAATTGGGAGACTTCCAAAGAACTTTTCAATTCATTACGTGATTATTGCAAGTCCAATTGCTGCATTCCCATGGGTATTCAATAGGGCAAATCACATAATTTGAGCTACTTATAGTAAACAATCCAATCATTGAGACATGCTTGCTTTTTGTTATCCAAAAAAATACAGAACTTGAATTGCAATATTAAGCTAGTTACTAATTCATGAAAAAGGAAAAGGAATTTCTTTATTCGTTTTCTATATAACAAAAATGAAGGAGTTAAGCCTTTTTAGAGACATGAGTGGCACCGTTAATTCAAGGAAAGAAAAGCTTTGGGAAATCGGGCAAAGTTTATCTTCTGATAAACGTATCGAAAAAGACTCTTTATTTCTAGAACTATTGACATAAGGGCCTCCTATTTTTGGAAAATATTGTTCTGAAAGCGAAACTAACTTCTTGATGCATTTGAAGCCTATTGTTCAAATTCAGTAAGCTTCCTTCCATATGATGCTTTGGCAAAGTGTTGCTGTTCTAAAAGGTGTTGTTATGATATTGATAATTTCTTTTTCTAAATACGGTACATCTTAAACTTTTCATTGATGCTGGATGAAATTTTTTTGACTGTCTACATCTGACTCATCAGATGTACTGTAATTATCAACTCCCCCGTCTTCATTTACCTTTTGCTCATTCTCCTCATTCTTTCCTTCTTCTTCAACTTCATCACCTTCTTCTTCGTCTTCTTCGTTATCGTCATCAGACTCCTCGCTCTCTTCTTCGTAATCTTCCTCTTCTTCAGAGCTGCTTTCTAACTCCTCGCCCGATTCCTCCTCATCTTCGTTCCCAAAAAATTCGTCCAAACTTTGCAATCTGTACGTCTCTTTTGTTTCAGGAAGGTTGTTTCTATTATGATAACTGGCAGACGAAATCGCATGATTACTGATAATTGGTGGAGATACTGATCTTGACTTTGCGGAGGAAACCGAAGTTACATTACCACCACTATTTGATAAATTATTAGTTCTGATTTGTGTTTGCTTTCTGATAGAGGATGGGGGGAGACTAGATTCATCGCTTGTCCAGTCATTTGCCTTGAAATAATCGACCAAAGCTGAATGCAAGGATTTGAATTCCTTTGAGCCTAATTCTGTAGATGAGGTAATTGTTGGAACCGGCTTAGGTACTTGTAAAAATAATGATGCTAGCTGTGATTGTGAGCTGCCGGTGTTCAACAAAACGTGAAACAATCTTGCCCTATCCCTAGTATCATATGATTGATCGTATTTTGCTAACTGCAATACGTGCTGGAACATTTTTGAAATAATATTATTTTCAAGGAAGGACAGCATAGCTTCGGTATCATCCTCTCTGTTCTCATGCTTAAAGTTATCGAGCTCAATTGAAAAAACTTTTGCTGATAATACAAGTATTTCATACCTTACTTTTTCGGCCTCTTTCACAAAATTTTTAATCAAAATCCTCAATACATCAGGAGCTATAGTATTCTGTGCAACTCCTGTGAATTCCCCAATTATCCAAATGATACTAGCTTTAGCATCGCTTTCTAAGTTCACTTCATCATCTTTCAAAATTAATGAAAGTCTGTATGTGGTCTTCATTATATCTTGTTTTACATCTTCGGAATTGTGCACATTTGTTTGATTTTGTTTTTGCTGAATCAAGTACCTTGTAACGGTCAAAAGTTCATTTAAAATACCCCCACCGGTCCTTTTGATTTGTTTAGAGCACCATTTTAAAATCTTTTCATTCCAATATGGGGATATCTGGGAGCAACAACCAATTGCCTTTATTGCTTCTTTGGCAATAAGTAAATGGTTATTTGAGTTTAATGCATAATATTTTAACTCATCAAGAATTATCTTGACGTTGTTTTCACTAATCAAGGAAGACAAAATCTGAAGTTTGCAAGTAGCAATTGGTATTGTATCCGAAGGAAAAAGGTAAAATTTTTTGTAGTATTGACCAAAGATGGATTTGTCATGAGAAGACACCATTGATATTGTTTGCAATGCAAATAAAGAAATTTGGTTGTTTTTCGATCCTGTAGCAAGTTTACATAATGCTGCATTTAGTTTGAAGTGTTTGAAAGTCAGTGGGGGTGCTAATAGATAAATAGCTTTTGAGATGCTAAGAATAACAAATTCAGATCTTGAATAAACTAAAACTTTCAAGGAATTGAGAAATAGTTCGAGATCACTGTCCATTGATACATCGTAGACTGGGAAAGGTATATCTGAATAATCGTCTGGTAAATTGATAACTTGATTTTCTTCGCTTCTAAGATATAATTTTGGCCTAGGTAAGAACTTCCGTGAATATTCAACTAATATTTCAATTAAGTAGCATTGAGCCCATTCGTCAAGCTGGGACATAATTTCAGCAAATCTTCGAAAGTTTCCGTGAATCGGATCCCATTTCTTACGATTATTGTTAAGTTCAACTTTTATCTTATAGTAGGCTTTAATCGCCGAGCCAACAACTAAAGGATCACTGTCAGCAATAAGTTGACATAGATATTCAAACAATTGCTTTCTATTGATATTTGGGATCTCGTATGCTTTAGCTATAGCTATAGCAGTACCAGCTCTTACCCATGGTGTTGGATCAGTCACTGTTCTCTTAATGCACAACAATAAAAGTGAAGAAATTTCTGGGATCCGGATACCTGCAAGAGATCTAATAGCTGTAGTTCTTGAGGAGGCATTCTTATCACTTAATGACTTCTGGATCGAATTGATTGATAGTAATGCAGTGTCTGGTTGAACTTCGGCGTACCTAGTTAAATAGATCAAAACTAAGTATTTTATTTTTAAATTGGAGGAAGTTACATTCTTCACAACATCGGCAAAATGAGTCAACCCATCTTCCCCTCTTGAAATTAGTGATACAACACATTTCATCCCATTTAAAACATCTCTATCAAGCCTAGAATTTAACAATTTTGAAATCTCTTGTGGGCGCAACGAACTTGGGGTGTCGGTCAACCTGGAAGAGGCTGACACCGCTGCTTCAATAGTGAGGTCCTTTGCGGACTCCAACATGGAAGATATTTTTGCTAGAGATTCAGTCATCTTATGCAGAGCTCTAGTTGAAACCTCACTCAATCCAGGGTATTCTCTTCTCAAACAAGATCAATTGTAAAGCTATGCTTGAACATTGAACAACTTATTAGTCTCAAATAAAAAATCCGAATGAAAAGAGAAAAAAAGAATCAGATTTGTGCGTAGACTTCCTAAACAGGAAAAGTATGGCAACTTGAGGAAATATAAACTTTACAATTACTGCAAAAATGGCTATAAACTATGCATTAATTCATTATATGTTCAACGTTTGGCCCTTTTGTTTAGTTTGTCAGCAGCAGACTTCATCCTTTTTCCTAGTCCAATGCTTTTTCTTAGAGAGATTGACTCCTGAGGGAAGAATTCACCAATTGTGGATTGAGTTCCTTCTGCTCGCTTTTTATTGATATCTTTCACTAGTGGAACCAAAACCTCGTCTACTCTAGCTTGCGACCATCGCAAATTGAACATAAGAAATGATCTTATCTGATCTAAATTGGGGATTCCCCAACTAAAGTCACTTGCATCATGGTCAACCTCAGGTTTTGTATATGCATCTCTTATGGTAGGATCAGGAAAAGAATCAGGAAGAAACAATTTACCGCTTTTTATTCTTTTTAGCAAGTTTTTTTTCAAGCTTGTTTGATCCTTTTTATCTGGGATCCTTTGAGTATTTTCATCGAACCAATTTTTGAATGCCTTTAGTGTTCCGAATTCTGCCAAAATTTCCATTGCCAAAACTGGACCTATGCCTTTTATACCTTCTGTATAATCGCTACCTAATAAAAGCCCCAACTCTATAAGCTTCTCTTGAGTGAGACCGACTTTGCCTTCTATGTCATCCACCATGTAACACTCCACATACTGCTTCTGATTGAACATGTTTTTATATATTCTATCTCCTCCAAATAAAAAGCAATCACTATCATCTGTTATAATACCATCAACTAATTTCAACCGGTATAATTCAGCACATTGGGCTTCGGCTTCCATGGGTGCAGTAATGTAAGGAATACCGAATCTTTTGAGTAACTCTTGAACATCCGTAATCATGTTTTGAGTAACTTCATCGGAATCTCTTTTATCTTTTTGGAGCTTCTCTTGCATTAACTGTGCGTCAGTAACGCTAGTTCCTAGACCCAAGTTGCTATTCATATTTTTTGATTTAATTTGAGACCGGAAGTGCTCATCTTCTTCTTCTTCCACTCTAAGCTGTTCTGCCAAATTATTTTCTTCTTCTTCCTCGAAATCGTAATCTAAAACAGCTGCTTTTCTTCCTGGTTTTTTTTCTTCAACTTCTTCTACCCCATGTTGAGGACCCGACTGCTCATTATCTTCTTGAGATGGATAAACATCACTTCTGGCAATCTCTTCGATTTCATCCGGTGATATTTCTTCGTTCATTTCACTTTCTTCATTGTTTTCATTCATCAATTCTTGGGCCTCTCTCCAACTTATAAGTCCTGCGGCTTCGTCATCATCCTCCTTTCCTTCCTGAAAAGAAGGTCTTGTGGTTTCAGCTCTTTGGATATGTGGGTTTTGTGCGGGGGAAATACTATCATTAAACCAGGAAGGTAACTCACGACGTTTTTCTGGTTTTGAATTTGGCTCTTCTTCGTCATCGATGTCTGAAGAGTTATCTTCCAATTGGATCAGATCTTGTTTTCTCAGACTATCTTCATGAACAATATTAACTTTTATTTTCTCTTCATGTGGAGCTTCTTTCTTTTCACCTTTTGACATGACATTAGTGCCAGTATTTTCTTTCTCTTTTTCATCGTATCCGTGATCCTCTCGTGGAACGCTCTTACCATTTCCCAATACTTTATCTGGAGTTAGATCAATAAAGTTAATATTGGGATTTGTTGATGCATGTTCCTCTTTTTTAAAGCTTTGAGTCTTTCGGGACCCAGTATTATCTGGAGCCTTTTTGCCAAATAATAAAGACTGGTCAAAGTTAAATAATAAACTAGATTGGGGATTTTCTACTTTCTTCAAGTCAAGATCTTTCCTAGCTACTCCCTGGTTAAACTTTTTCTCTTGTTCTTCAAGATTGAGTAAGTCCCTTTTAGATTCTTCGATAGCTTGTTTAAGTTCGATTTCATCAAAATCTTCATTTCTATATGGTGGGGCAGAAACTACTTGTTTCAACTTATCCTCACCCGTCGCGTGAGCAGTTCCAGGGTCTTCATCCCTATATTGGTCGTAAATGGATTCAATGACTGCTTTTTGCATGTTTCTTTCTTCCTCTGTCTCTTCGTTTTCGTTTGATGAAACGTCTTCCCATTCGACTTCACTGTCTTCTTCTTGTTTTTCATTCTCTTTTTTGGTGCTTTTGTTATCTTCTAATTCTTCTTTCATCGAATTGATGACCTCTCTTGGAACTTCTCCATTCTCGTCCAACATGATTGGATTTGATTCTTGCTCGCCTCCGTCGGTCAAAGCTAACGTCCAGCCATCAGAATTCCTCACCAAAGCATATTTACGATCTTTGTCACCAGAAATTCTCTTTGTTACATTACCACCATCTTCACTCATACCACTTACATTCATTAACCTTTGAGTATAGAAGTTTCTTTTTTGAACTTGTTGAATCTGGAATTTTGAAAAATCCAAGCTATTGGGGAAAAGCGTTTCTAGTTGATCTTTACTGAATCCCATTCTTAACCTGGAGCGTAGTCTTAAATGGGATAAAACCATATATTGAGTAGGGGTCGGTAATTCTGCAAATTCCTTAGACGCAGGATCAACCGTATTGATATCTATACCATCAACAATGTCAAAAGAATAATCATACTGCTCTTGAAACTCATCCTCGGGCATAATACGAGCGTCTTTTCTCGATACTTTGAATTTATTCAACTCTGGTAGATGGTATTCGTCGCGTCGAACAAAAACATTCTTTTCTTTATCATTATTTGCTTGACTAGGTGAGCCATGCTGGGGATGTAGATTTGGAAGATCTTCCAAATAAACAGTATCTCCTTCTGTAGCTGGTTTCTTCGTCATTTCGGCTTCCCTTTGCACCTGCACTGCTAGTAACCGTTGTGCTGTTTGGGCAAGACTTTCCCGATGTCCTTCTCTTCTTTCTCGTCTTTTAAGTATAGTTTTTCTCTTCAAGGAAGGGGCACCCCCATCAAATACAAAGATAGGTAGAATTCCATAGTATAATAGCTTGCATATCCTTCTAAAGAACCCGACTATATGCGATTGAGGTAATGCATTACCCTCAGAGTCTCTTACTGCTTTAAGAAATTGATATATCCAAATCGATGCATCCACCGCCATTCGCTTTCGAGATAATGCCTCTAATCTGACTGGTCTAGCCGTGGGACCTAGTATCTCCCATAAAGATGTAACACCCATTTCTCAATGTCTATGCAACTCCAGCGAATCCAGCAAGTCCTCGGTATTCCCATGGATCAAAATGAAATGTATTCAAGCATATCTTACTATTCTTCTCTATAAAACCTCTCAAATCTTGCTCCCGTCGTGTGTGTGCAGCTTTTCTGCAACCTTCCTCAATAGTAATTAGCTGCTAATTTACTTCCAGCGATGAAAAAAAAAAGCTACTCCACAAACGAGCAGTGATTATGATTGCAAAATGTTCAATAAATTCCCGCTGGAAAAGGGATTTATAGTACAAGAGGCATTCGGAATAGTTCCTACATTGATTGTGACATAACAGCAAGTTGGTAGGACCATTGCCTATAAGTATTATTTCTCGTATTGAGATACTGGGAAGCTCAAATGAAAAATATAAAGCGAAGAGAACCATTTTCTTCAGCTGAAGGGATAAGTCAGCAGGGTAATTTAAAGAACAAGCAGGCAATAGCGGATTACTTTAATAAAGATATTTCAGGAGTTAGCAATGGCCACACTACCAATGCAAATGATTTTACAAAATTTGATCCTAAAACGGAGGAAAATCCTTCAGCTAAAGAAAAAGTGAACGCATGGATTAAGAATTTACCATACTGGAAGATAGAGGAAGGTCCTTGGGTCACTAGCTGTTTTCCTGGAATTGTGACTAGTGAGAGTATAGACTACGATGAAATGGATTGTTGTGATGCAGATGATATCCAGGAACTACAGTCACGGAAGATTACTCGTTATGTGATTGAATTATACTATTCCGATGCAGAAATCATCAAGTATGGATTTAATGAAGATGAACTAGTTCTTTTGGGAGGAAATCAAAAATATTCAAACGAAAAATTTTTTGAATGGAAAAATTAAGTTTATTAAGATTAAAATTAATACATAAACTATTTATAGGAAAATGTCGAGTTCCTCAATTTCGTAGTTAAAATTACTTTCATCAGGAAGTTTATCTATCCTTGGATAATATGGGACTAGAGTATCACTATTTTGTACGTAAGCAGCATTATACATTTTCCAATACGGAGCTCTCACTTTTCTAGCAGGATGGAATAGACCTGCCCAAACATAATTTGTATAAGTACCATTCCCAAGAACGAGTCTTAATGCATCAAGACTTTCCAAAACACGACTGATTACATGGGGAGAAGTTATAAAGATATTTGGTAATAGCAAATTCAAGTAATGAATAAATACATCGAAATATCCATCATTTGTCAACCCAATACAATTAAGAGCCATGTGTCTTATTACTGCAGCTGCAGTTTGCCGATGTACCAAGTCCCTATCAGTTAATGCGTTTTCTAGTAATGGAGTTATAGCATATAAATAATCTTTAATCATATCTCCCTGAATATACTCAAATAGGAAACTGAGAGCTTTCAATAAACCGTTTTGAACATTTTTGTCGGGAATCCTATATTCATTCATCAAAGCTGGAAGTACTGTGAAAGGTTCACAAGTTTCAGCAACGATCCCAATGGCAACCGCAGTACAAACTCTTAGTTGTCTTTCTTGTACTCTCAAATTGTTCAATAACATTGCAAGTACATCTTGTGGTCCGATTGTCTTTGCAATATATCCGAAAGTTCTATTAGCTGCAATCCTAATTCTTTTCTTCGTGCTTTTCAACATGTCCAACATTTCAAAACAAATACGCATCCATTCTTTGGCATTTATCGTTTCAGCATTTTTTTTGGCAATCAATCCAACAAGCTTAACTGAAGCTTCCTGAACTTTTTCATGTCTGTTCTTTAAAATGGGGGTCAAAGTTGGTAATATTTGATTAAGAGAAGGATTCAGCATTAAATATAAAGATGTTTTATCAATGGAATCAATGCAAGCGTAAAGAGAATTCAAAATTGATCCCAATACTTCAGGATATACTTCACCTAATGATTCGTATAATATTAAAACCAACTTGAGTAGTATCTGTTCATCATTTTCGGAACAAATTTTGATAACCGGAGCGATGGTGGTGATCAAATCTGATGACTGTTGTCTAACTTCAGAAGATTTATTCTTCAAACGATACAAAATCGTACTTATGATAGAATTCATATGTGGTTTGACTCTAATTCCAAGAGTTTTCACAACCGTCCCAAATGCTTGCAAATATATATTTTGCTGCATCGTTTGTTCTTGAAATGCAAATAGGATACCGTCAACCAATCTTGCCTCAAGATGTGAGTCCAACCCTATCAATTCATCTTTTCCAGTGATAATCATTTTATTGATAGCTTCTAAACTCATCTTTCTTAAATTTTCATTTTCGTCTTTTGTAAATAAAACAATCATTTCCAATATATCGAGAAACTCAAAACTAAGTGCAAGCTGAGTTGTAGTATCTACCACTAATCTACTTAATTGTTGTGAATCAGTTGCAATTCTCCTATTCCAAAAAAATTTGAAGAATGGCTGAACAACCTCAGTATCATATTTTGTAAATAACGATTTGGACATGGGCAAATTCGCTAAAATAGTTAAAATAGCTATTTTCATGTCATTATCCGGTGACTGAAATTCTCTGGTAATAACATACATTAATTCTTTAGTGTAATAATTTGAGTATTCCTCATAATTTGGATCATGCACCATCAAGGGGATAACTGCTCCAATACATTTCAAAAAGCTTGCCAAACCTTTACCTCTATGTTTTTTCAATCCAATCCATGCTGGCTCTAAAATACTTTCAAAAGATTCTATCCCATATGGTTTAACACTTTCAGCCAATTGTGCTACCGTGGACGCTGCCATTGTACGAACCTGTAACATCTCATCAGACAAAACTGGCTTTAAAAGTTCTATTAATTGAGGTAAGTAAGGTAAAATAGAACTTCCATTACCACCACCTAACATAACACACAACTGTTGAATAATTTTAACACCAGTATGTCTAGCCATCCAATTTTTTTTAGATTTGATTACTGCTTTTAAGAAAGGAAAGAAATTCACCAACCCTAACGTATTTGCCACGATTGCAAAAACCCTGGATGTTATATTCCTGATATATTCATCCACATGATCTAAATCTGGTCTTAAATTGGAAATCATATTACTCAAACCAGCTGCTTTACTCAAACTTGATATTATTTCTCTTGCTTCAAGTCTCATTGTGAAATTTTCGTCGATTAATAAGGGTGATATTACTATTAATATTTTGTCGGTATATGGGCGAACAAGATCATCGAGCTGAAATAGTATGCGACCAATAACTTTGACCAACAAATGGCGCTCTTGAATATCTAAAGATGGTTCTAATAAAATCGGTAATATTTGGTTGAATAGAAGTTTTGGGCCATATTTTCTGGAGCTGGCTATTAATTTTCGAAGAGAATGTTTTCTTGAACGCAAAGAGCCATTCTTTATCTTGAGAAGTAAGCTTAGTATTTCCAATTCGTTCTTTTGTTCGTTGGTTTGATGGCCAGATGCTTTGTCAGGCTGCACTAATTTCCCAAAATATTTCATGTCTACCTCCTTAAGCGGTACACCACTATACTCAGTATTTCTTGCAATTATCTGATTTCCTTCCTCGGAGGGGGGTACATAATAATCCGGAGGTGCTTCTGTAATATCAGGCGCTAGACTTGGATCTAACGGCTTGTAATCTGGAGGTGGAGGAACTATTCTGTATCCAGAAGGAAGAATTTTGTTTAACACATTATTATTCAATGGAATCCCATTGATTATAGGTACCTTTTCTTTCAAAACTAAATCACTGACGGAAGTTTGTTGTTTTTGCCATTCTTCTGGAGTCACATCCCACCTCTTCTTTCTCTTTCTTGGTAGTAATTTGGCTTGTTCACCATTTGCTTCTTTTTCCTTGATCAATTTCTTTACCCTAAATTCATCTCTTTCAAATGCACGTTGCTCCATCAATTTCTTATAGCTTTGAGTTGACTCAAGATCAATTTTCCTTTCGAATCTTTTCTTTTGATAGTCATTCTGATTGATGTTGTTTTTCAAATCTTGTGAGGAAATAGAATCGTTCTCTTTGTACTCTTGAGCTAACTCATTCTGTAGCCCCTGAGGTATCGTATAGCTACCCACTAGAGACTTTTTCGACATATTGTTCGTTCTCTTTGACCTGTTTAATTATGTTGTATAGTTGAAAGATTGTATTAACTTGAATATGGAGAGCGCATCCTAAAAGCTAGATGAGTAGTGCTGGTGTACAATTTTATTGCTGCTAGTATCAATCAGGCCAAAAAAAAAAAAAATTTTGAAAGAAGCTCTAACCATTAAAGGCCTCTAGATCTTAATATACCAGAACAGATATGGCTAGTCAGAATTCAGTGGTTCTACTCAACAGGCTACTTTCTCTCAAGGAAAGCTCTCCCTTTTTATTGGTTCTCGATTCGTTAGCCCAAACATCACATTACTTCATCCAAGAGGTTGCACATAAGTTTTCGAATGATATAATATATTTATCATTTGAAACTCTTAATAAGCCAAAGTATGCTAATGATTTCATAGATTGCTCTGTTCTACCACAGCAAGAGATAATTGACTTTGTTCAGAAAAAAACCGGGGGTGTAACCACTAAGTCCTTAGTGATAATAGATTCGTTAAACTATATTGAAAATATGAAATTAACCGAATTTATAACCAGTCTCATACTGCCTAATATCACAATCTTGGGCGTATTTCATACGCATGTCCCCCAGCCTGCTAGCATCAACTATCCAAGCTCTATAAGTTTATTGAATTATGTTGCAAGCTCGATATTTGAGTTAGAACCCAAGAAGTTGGATGATGAAGAAGCCGTGGATAATAAACTTAATAAGCTTCAATTTCCGGTGAATCTGAATTTGAACTCTCCCGTTTTCAAGTTAATTCTCACCAATAGAAGAAAATCGGGTAGATCATTGACTTATCAATTCATCATCAATACAGAAAACCATACTTATGAACCATTCAAAGAAAATACTGAAGAAGTCGAAGAAGATGAATCCTTATTGAAAGACCTCACCACATTCAATTTGACCACCAACTCGAAACAAAAGCTTGCCAGAGAACAAGTTGAATTGCCATTTATGCAAGCTCAAGAAGCACTTGGCTCTGCTGGTGGGGCTATTGTTTACGAATTCGAAAAAGATGATGATTATGATGAAGAGGATCCGTACGAAGATCCGTTTTAATGATTTAGAGTTTATAGAATGCATATACGTTAAGTATGTTACTCTCCAATTGTAAAAATGATCTGAAGCACTTTCAAAGCAGGACAAGATGCAAAAAAAAAAAATTAAGAAGATGGAAAAAGAAAGCCCAACGCGGGGCTCGAACCCGCAACCTTCTGATGATCTCAGAAATAAGAGTCAGATGCTCTACCGATTGAGCTAGCCAGGCGCTTTCTATGACTGAATTTTGAGCTGGTTTACTATCTTAATTCTTACAATCTTTAAAAGCATTCTCAAATTTCAAAAAAAAATCTTGAATTCATTGAATATTTTTAAAATAACTAGCTAGAATTAGAATTATTGCATTCAGTCATACGCATAATATTTTGAATTCTCTTTGGAGACAGTTTTAGTGCTTCATAAGCAACTTATATATATATATATTTATGCTGCGAAGTATACATATCCAATTAGACCTTTCACGTTGTTTACAAGCCAGAAGTCAATATAAGTGTACATTTCCTTGTGAATTAGGTTTAAGATTTTTAAGATTTTTCAAAAAATTTAAGTATATCACCTTTTCGTGAATTTGAATTTTATTTTGACTAAGTTTACCCTAAATTTTTAGGTAAAAGTGAAAAATTACGTAAAATATGAAAAATGAAGAATTCAGTAGTTTACGGTCAGAATAATCGACTACAACTTTCAACTACACTAAGAACTGATTATGCTGAACCAAGTTAAATCTATCAAATAATAATATACAGAGGCTTCCAAACCTTTAAAAGCTATACTCAATTTTTAATTAGAGCATCCAAAGAATCTTCATCAAATATGTTACTTCCCGATTGTAACACTTTAGCCAACATTACCAAACTCTTATCAGTGAAGTCAGGTTTTTTTCTCAATTCATCTAGATCGTCCGAAAAATTACTTGCCATTAATCCCAAAAATTGACTTTCTAGGTCGTTTCTATCTTTGTCAACGGTTTGTTTTATTTCTTCTGCGGTTCTAGTAGTGTTATTTGAATTCAATGTATTCGAAGTAAATTTAATTTCATTTATCTGCTTTTGAGTTTCTTGTGATAGAAGTTCAGTTTCATTTTTATTATTTGTTATCTTTTCATCATCTGAATCTATATCAATATCATCTATGTTTGGGGTTTTCCCATTCTCAATATTATCAGAACCCTTAATTTCTTCTTCTTTATCGTTATCAGAATCGGAAGAAGACGAAGATGACGACTCATCCGACGAAAAATCTTCAGTTCTTCTCTTCTTTCTTCTTCTTCTGCTGGACTTGGGGTTTCCTAACTTTTCATTAGGCACTTGAGCTGCTGCCATTGTACTTTGATTCTGGAATTCGGATTATGGGAAGATAAAGTATATCAATCTTTTTTTCAAAGCTCTTCTCTTAAGTGAAGAGAAGAGGGAAAAAAAAAAAAAAAAAAAAAAAAGGAGAAGCTACATGCAGGACAAACTATATCGATCTATAAAATTACAGTAATATACAGATTTACTTCTTTTGTTTTTTAAAGTCATTACCGGAGGATTTAGTAGGTTTTCTCTTTTTAACAACTGAGGTTAAGTCATTGACAGCAGGAGTAGAAGAGGAAGGTTTAGGTTGGTTGGAGTCGGAAGAGGTAGCTTCACCCAAGATACCTTTGATGATATCCATTTGTTGAAGTTTTAATTCTTCAGCGGGATCTTTTTCTAATTCCTTGTATCTCACTAGTAAATCTTTTACCAAATCTTCATTATCCTGTTTCTTTTTAGGATCGGATTCATTTTCATTTCTTAACTTGACTGAATCAATTGCTAATTTCATTTGATTAGCAGCTTTAGATCTTGAATCGGGATCTTCAACGCAAAATTCCAATGCAAGAGATAATTTGTAGTGAGATTCTGAAATAAGCGAAGAATTTTTAGGATTGTATAATTTTAATCTTAAATTTAAACAATTTTCTAAATCAATTGCTGATTGACTAAAATTTTCTGATTCTAAAGAAACTTCACCTAAAATATCGTATGTTTCTGATAATTTCTTCAAAGTTATAAGGTATTCATTAGTTGTTTCTTCACGATCATTTGATAAGTAAGGAGGACTAATTTTTGATTCCAATTCTTTTAAATCTTCAATTTTCGATTCAAAGATTGATCTAGTAAGATCAAGAATTTCCCAAGCAATTTCAAAATCACTTTGTTCTTCTTCTTCGTCTTTGCTTTCATCTTTGCTTTCCTCTTCACCCTCCTCCTCACCTTCTTCACTGTCCTCCTCTTCAGCAACAGGTACGGCGTCATCATCTTCTTCGGCCAACGCATTCTCATGGAATTGAAATTTATCATCCTTATCCTCCTTTTCCTTATCCTCCTCCTCCTTCTTACTCTCGGACTCCTCAGGCTTCCCACCAAAGACTTCAGATTTCAGAACTGCACTTTGAAATAATGATTTCCCGTATAATAATAATAAGTCCCCGTCATCACTGGAGTTTTCCTTATTGAATAATTCACACGCATCTGCGTATTTACTAGAGGCAAGGTCATATTCCTTGACCGCATAGAGCTTGGAGCCCTCGGCTATGAGCTTGCTGACTTCGGGAGAGTAGGCCATGGTATCGATCGATGATGAAGCCGTGGAACTGATTCTTGTATTCGGGTCATCCAAACGCGTCTTGAGTTTTTTCATCTTTTTGCCCATACACCAAATCTGAGACTGCTAATTACTAACTACTGGCTACCTGCTAACCACTGACTACCTGCTAACTACTAACTACTAACCACTGCTAACTGCTAACCACTGCTAACTACTGACCACTGCTAACAACTAACCACTAACTCTGTCATCACATGTCATTAGGTTAGTATTTTGTATAGCTTTCTAAATTACACTATCATTCCTTTAAGTCATGCCAGCCCGTACGAATCCTCCTGTTCATCATTCCATAGAGGGTTTCGATCAAAAATTCGGCGGTTGTCCTTACAAGTTGTAGTCAGTCAATTGACCAAGTCTAGAGATTCCACTTGCAATCGTCTCTGGGAGGAATTGGGTCTGATCTGAGCACGAAGGAGTTGGCACTCTTCTCCATCACCACCCAATGCAAAACTCCTTTGTGCAATCAAACCGGTCTAGTCCAAGCTTAGCTTAGCTTTGTCAGCTTTGTTAGCTTTGTTAGGCTCTTTTGTTTACTTTGGTATTCGTCTCGTCTGCCATTTTTCTTTTTTTCTTTCTCTGGGTTTTGTTCCTTTTATTTCCATTTTTTTCAACCGGTTACTAAATACTCTACTACTCGTGTGTACTGATTGCCTACCCTCTTCTATGTTCCCGTACAAGTATTCCCGTACAAGCACTCCCGTATAGCTATATATTCACGTATAACATTGTGAGAATTGGAGATTGTCATTTTTTTTGTTAGCGTTTTTTTTTTTTTTTTTTGGTTTAAAGTTTTGGTGAGGGAGTGACTTGTTTTCATTTTGAAACGGTTAAATCAACAATACTTCTTAAAAGATCAAAGTTTTGTTTTAAAATAAGATTTATTCCCCTTCAACACATCCCAACCATCTTGCAAATAGCTCATCGTCTTCCTGTCTATAACAGCGCCAAATTCCCTTGTCATCCACAATGTATCAACGGGAGTATCAGTCAACATCAACTAGGTCTAATAATGACCCCATTAATCACTCAATAGCGCCTTCGTCTCAAGTAACTACAACGAAAAAAGCTTTAAAAAGGAAGCCTCCTCCAGGAATTGAAATTCCAGAAATAAATACTCCAAATTCTGGTCAAATTCAATCGGAGCAACCATTACCTCCATTACCGCCCACCAAAACATCTTCAGTTTCAACTCCTCCAAGTAAAATACTACCTGCTCTACCGGCTAGACCCAATCGTTCAGCTACTGAAGGCGGGACGACGACTTTTTTAAATCCTGTCAATCCTTCAAATAAAAAACCAACCATGAATTTAAAAGTTAATACTTCTCCTGATATTCATCAATATAAACAGCAACAGTTGAAACAGCAGCAACTACAACAACAACAACAATACCAAAAACTTCAATATCAACAACAACAACAATACCAACAACAACAATACCAACAACAACAACAACAATATCAATATCAACATCAACAGCTACCACAGCAACAGTATCCTCCTTATAACGATCAAACACATAACGATACTTACGACGCCTATGACTATGATACTTATTTCCATTATGAAAGTCCAAAACCAATGGGTCCTAAAGAATTACCCGGCTATGATGATTTTGATCCGCCTTATTCGAATAAACAATATCAAGATCTGCCTTCTAGTCAAAATTCTCAACTGTCAAAATCTCGTCCAGCGAGAAAATTTCAAGGATTATCAAATAAAGCTTCCCGCTCTCCAATTGGTCCTTTACCAATCGATAATATAAATGTTTTAAATGGTCCCACGCCTCCCTATCCTTCCCAAAGTTATGATGCGGATTTGGATATCATAGCTACTTATAATGATGATTATGATGATCAAGCTTATGATTTTTTCAATCCGGACCTAACTCCTTCTAAAGTAAAATTTGATTTCAATTCTGATGGTTCCCATCTTAACTCCTCCCCAATCACTCGTAGATATTCCCATTCGGGATCTCCTTCAAGAATCCCTCCTTTAAATGATGATAATTTATTAAGCCTCCCTGATGGATCCACCGTTTTAAAACCTCAAAAATCAATGCCTGCTTTAAGATCAGACGATCATTCCAATAATAATTCAAAATCACCTACTAATCGTCGACACGGAATTGCAAAATTTGGTGGTTCTACTAAATCAACTCCTTCTTTAAATATCCCATTAAACAATCAGGATATTGATCAATTTGGTAGTAAACCATCGTCCCCAAAAAAATATTATGGAAGATCTCCTTCTCTTAATTATACTAGCCCGTTTAATGATTATCAATACCAACATAATGACTCGGATTTACCCCCTTCTCCCTCTCCAACCACTGGTGAATCTTACTATGACAATTACTATAGCCAATATTACGCACCTGATTCAAATGAAATTCAAGAAGTCTCTTATGATGACGAATTCGAAAAATCCGAACGTCCTTCTCGCTGGAGTTCAATTGAATCATCTGAAACTCAAAAAACTGATATCAGTGATTATTATGATAATATCAATATTGGTACGGGCCAGATTAATTCTGCCACTACTTCAAGTAGTTATGCCAACAATAAAATATATTCTCCTGATTATGGTAAAACGGAAACTCCCATTAATTCTTATTTCGATTATTCAATTCTACCTGATTTACCATCTGCTTCATCAAATGATTCAAATAATGGGCCTCAAAGACACCTCACAATGAACTCTGCAGTTTCTGCAATTTCTTTCCTTAAAAATAATCTATTAAATGATGAAACTAATAATCAAGCTGCATTGAAAAAGAAAAAAGATGATGAATTACCTCCAGTGCCTCTTGATTTACCTTCTTTACCCTTTTCTTCTTCGTCTTTAGTCACTCAACATTTCTCAACATGTGAGCGTGTTTGGTCTTTAAGCAGCGTGTTTGAGTGGTGCTTGAAGTTGAAGGTTTGGCTTCATGACCTGTTCATATCTAAAAGGGAATTCAAAAAGGCTTTAATTAAATTGATCGTTTTCCACAAACGTGATGTTCCATTGGATTTGATTGGTCAAAACGCTGATCGTATTATTGATGAATTATTGAAATCAAGAGCAATATTTTATTGCTATGGCGTTGAAGATAACGAAGATGATGAAAAATCTTTACCCGACCCTGCAACTGGCAAAGTTTCTACCTCAAAAGTCTCCACATCACCTGATAATGTTGCATTGGCTTCTAAGGACGAACCAGGTATTTTAATGGATGATTCGGCTTACGTTAGCGGTGTTATGGTTGATTTAACTGACTGTTATTGCCATGATCGCGATCATAATTACGCAAGTGGTCGCCAGCAAAATCAAACTTTGAATGAAAACCATAATGAAAATGTACAAAAAAGATGCTACTCATTCAACTGTAATTTGAACAGATTAATTGAACATGAACTTCAATTGAAAAACACTAATATTCACGAAATAGTCCTTGGTGAAGATTGGGCATCACATTGGAAATTGACAGCTGAAGATTTAAGAAACTTTGATAAAAATGTTTCGAAAAGACAATCTTTAATCTTCGATCTTTTGAGATATGAACAAACTTTTATTCAAAGAGCTACTTGTTTTGTTGAGATTGTTGGACCAGAGTTCATCAAAATCGCTCAGCTTTTAGTTGGACCCGAAATTGTACTGATAAATAAATTCGAAGATGATATGATTAGCCCTGGAAAGGAATTAGTCGGTATTCATGAAAAAAGTCTTTTTCATCCATTGCTTCGTATATTGATTTCCAACGGTAAATTTATTTCCAATCTTTCGGAAATCGCTAATATATATTATAATTGGTCTCAGGTTGTCAAGAATAGTTTACTCAAATATATGAGTACTGTCCCAATGATCGAGGATCTTTTAAAATATGAGTTAATTAAAAACTGGGTTGACCACAATGTTAGAAATATAAGCAGAGTCAAAGAATTGAAAGTTAACGGACCATTATTATTCATGAGTACCTTCAACTCACGTTATCAGCTGTTACCACTACAGTTATCGGACATTAGAAAGTCTTTTGACTCTCAAGATCCTGAATACATTGCTTTAACCAGAGCTATTGATGGTATCAAGAAATTAGGTTCGAAGGTTAATGAAATGAAGGTTCACGCGGATAATATTCATGCCTTGAAGAGAGTTTATAAACAATTAACTTGGAAAAGTAGTATTCAACAACCAAACATTAATTTAGGATCAGAGAATAGAAGGTTTCTCTTCAGGGGTGACTTATCCCGTAAAGGTGATTTAAAAATTAACACTTACATTAATCATTTAATATTATTAGATAATTATTTATTCATAACTGAAAAAATTAAAAATCCTCGTCTGGGTGGATATAATTATAAAGTTGTTGAAAACCCAATACCAATTGAATTATTACTTTTTGAAATCAAAGAAAATCAAACACTCGCAACCAGTGGGGGTATTGAAATTTCATTGAGTAAAACGTTAAATTTGAATCCCCTGACAAGTCCCAAATCTCCTAATCCTGTATTACCAGAAAATGAAGATGAACCATCATCATTCCCTATAAAACTTAGATATGCTGGAAGAGGCAAACATGATTCATTTACGTTTTCAGCAAAAACAGAGCGTGAAAGAATGGACTGGGTTAATCAATTAATTTCGGCAAGAAGTAGTCTTTGTTCCAGATTAAAGAAAACAGAACCTTATAATTTAAACTTAATTTCAAATACAAACTTTGCTTATGAATTTAGTAATAGAATTACAAAGTTACAAGTTTGTGCACCTCACGATCCAATTGAATCAATTTCAACGGATGCATTTACCAGGTTGGCCAAGTTAGGATGTAATGGTGATGCTTATTCATTGAATAATTCAAGAAATCATATCATATTCAGTAAAGCTCAAAGTGTTTCCAAATTTGAGTATAGAGGCACGGAATTTTACTTAGTTGGATTAGTTAATGGTGTTTATTTGAGTGATATGCAAAATCGATGGAAAAAAGTAATTAACGGGGTTGATATAACCAAGATTAGCGTTGTTACATCAATCAACTTAGTGGTGATCTTAGGAAATAAACAGTTACGATACTATACATTAGATCTGATTATCAATGTTTATTACGAACGCCGAGATTCAATGAGTTCTATTTCATTATCAAATGAACCGGTATCCTTTTATGAAATTGGCCGCCACCGAGAAATAACTATGTTATTTTACGCCAAAAGAAAGGGGAACTCTTCAGGAACCACCAATTTCAAAGTCTTAATTCCTGAAACTGATAACGATGGCGTTTTCAATGCATTCAAGGTTGTGAAAAAATTCTACGTGGAAGCTGAATGCTTTGGAATATCAATTTTTAATACTTCATTTGCAGTTCACACTCATAAAGGTTTTGAAATATTGGAATTGGATAAACTTATTCCAAGATCCATACCAGAAATTCCAAACGTTGACTCCAAGAAAACTGATGCATACGGAAGACGATTACTACAAAATGGTACCAATATGTCTATGGCCACTAGTACTTCGATAACTGCATCTTCTTCTCACCCTGGAATTGATGCCATCAAAAGAGCAATGCACGCTAGTAGTATTAAACCAATGGGGATGTTCAAGCTAACTAACAATGCTGAATTCTTATTAGTTTATAACGATTACGCCATTTTCACCAATAAACACGGGAAATTATCAAGATTTACAATGTTGAAATTTGACTTTAAAGCAAACTCGATCGCATTCAAAAACAATAACTTGTTTTTGGTCTGCGATGAAGCAATCGAAATATGGTCAATCAGTGATTTTGTCAATGGATCCAATAGATTAATCCAAGTTATCGTTGGAAAAGATATAAATATGCTTGATTCCAACGATTTGAGTTTTGCCATGGCCAATCCAAAAGTAGTTGGTCTCCAACTTATTTTCCGTCTCGATAACGTTTCTACCGAAGTCGACAACAGTCTTACTTAGTCTCTTTCAACTTTTTCATTTTGCAATCGTCTTGCAATCATTTTTTTTTTTTTTTTGAATTTTTTTTTTTTTTTTTTTTTGATTTTTTTTTTTTTTTTTTTTTTTTTTTGCATCTTTTTTTATTTTGCATTTTTCAACTTTCGTTTATTTTGTTAAATAGGTCTCTCTGTATTATTAATTCTCTTTCTTTTCGGGTCTTCATATTTAAGGGTTTCTGTATATTAAACGGTTTCTTTGTATATAATCTATTTTTTCGTAGTAAGCTTGTGAGAAGTGTTTTCCGAGGTACAAATCAGTAAATACGAATGTGGAGACAAGCGATCACTGGAAAAAACATTGTGAATACCGGACATAAATTGAAATTGTATAAAACTGAGTACAAGTGCCAACCTTCTTGATTTGTTTAGAGGTGAATTTGAACTTCAAATAGTCAATTTAGATACATAATGGTTGATTTAAACGTTAATAACAAAGTAGCAGTGATCACTGGGGGGACCAGAGGTCTTGGTTTAGATTGTGCTGAAGCCTACGTTTTAAACGGAGCATCAACAGTTGTTATTACTTCAAGAAAAGCTGATGCTTGTAAAGAATCTAAAGAATATTTAGAGAAGATTGCTAAAGAAAATGGTAAATCAGTCAAGATAATTTCAATTCCTGCTGATCTTACTAAAGAAGACCAAGCAGTTGATTTTTTCAATCAAGTTGCTAAACAAGTTGAAAAAGTTGATATTTTGGTTGCTAATGCTGGTGCTACTTGGGGTGCTTCATTAGAAGACCACCCAGTTAGTGCCATTAAGAAAGTATTAGACTTGAATATTGCTTCTGTGTTCCATAGCATTCAATTATTCACTCCCTTATTATCGAAAGCTGGTACTTTCGAAGATCCTGCAAGAATCATTATCATGTCATCCGTTGCCTCTTTGATTTCTTCAGAACCAGTTGGTACTTATGGTTATTTGGCTTCAAAAGCTGGGGTTAGTCACTTGGGAAAGAATTTGGCCGTTCAATTGGGTCCTAGAAACATTACCGTTAATTCGTTGGCTCCAGGTTTCTTCCCAACCAAAATGTCAAAGGGTCTTATCTCTGCTGCTGGTGATATGATGATTGAATCAAATCCAAGAAAGAGATTGGGCCAAAAACAAGACATTCAAAATGCTGTCTTATTTTTAAGTGCTAAGGAATCTAACTATATTAACGGTATCGTTTTACCAATCGATGGTGGTAGTTACTTGAGTGGTGCCTTCGTTCCTTCTTCATCCAAACTTTAATTGAACTGTTTCGGGTCTATCCAAATCAGTTTCTTCTCTTGTCTTTATATGTTGTAGTTATATATTATAATACATGTGTGATGTACGGATGTCTAGTAATATTCAAAGTTTTTTTTTTCTTTAATTAAAAGATGCCATTTGTTCCTCTTATTATTCTTAAAGCAAGGTAGTTTAAACAAGGAAACGATCAAGTAAAATGGGGTTAGCATCGTCAAAAATCTTAGATGAACTTATGGAAGGAACCAATTTCGATAGAGATGAGATTGATAGATTGAGAAAGAGGTTTATGAAATTAGATAAAGACGGTAGTGGAACCATCGACAAGAATGAATTTTTAAGTATTCCAGGGATATCATCTAATCCGCTAGCAACAAGATTAATGGATGTTTTCGATGAAGACGGTAGTGGAACCATTGATTTCCAAGAGTTTATTACTGGGTTATCGGCTTTCAGCGGGAAAACTTCCAAGATTGATAAATTAAGATTTGCATTCAAAATTTATGATATCGATAGAGATGGTTACATAGGAAACGGGGAACTCTTCATCGTTATGAAAATGATGGTTGGTAAGAACTTACAGGATGAAGAATTACAACAGATTGTCGATAAGACCATGATGGAAGCAGATCAAGACGGTGACGGGAAACTAAGTTTTGATGAGTTTAAGAATGTAGTTGACTCCAAATCTGTTGCCAGTGCTTTAACTTTGAATATGTTTTAATCTCTAACCATCAACATGGTCACTTAATTACTTTATTGGGCTCATGACTCGTTTTAAATGCTTGATTTTCCCTTTCTGCTTCACTTCACTATGTATTTCCTTTTATTTCATTGTTTCTATTCTACTTATTTATTTCACATTAGTCTACTTTGATTTCTATTCTAGTGCACTTATATATACTTGTACCCGTATAACTATTGTATGAATAAGGCGTTGATAAGTAGAGATTTAAGTGATAAAATGTGTTCACGAGATCATTAAGCAAAATCTCTTTTATCGCGCTTTAGTTATAAAAAACGACAAAAGATAACCATCGCCACAGATAACTCGTAGATAGATATCTTGAACCAGAAGAAACTCAGATCTCATGATGCCAATGGACTCATCTAAGGATGGTGTGTTCCAGTCCATTAGTCTAGCGTCGACTGTTCACGAAAAGCGCCATGGAAAAGACGTTCCACAATCAGCCATACCAGAATCTACATCGGATGAAGATGAGGAGGAAGAAGAAGAAGAAGAAGAAGAGGAAGAGGAGGAGGAAGAGGAAGAAGAAGACAATCATGAACCAGCAGAGTTTCTTTCATCAGGCTCAATGCAAAATGCTGGTATATTTGGCAATGGGTCCAAAGGAGACCTTCAAAGTAATAATAATACTTTACAATCTACTCCCAACATTCCCGACCAAGATTTCTTTTCCAATCCCTCAAGAATATTTACCAACGACCAAGAACCTTTGAATGGAAGAGGCATGAATGATGATGCTTTATATCATTCCAACTTTTCTGTTCACAACTCAATGAATAATTCGTTTCACGGTAATTCAGTTTTTTTTAATCAAGCTTCAACTCCAACTCATACCAATGAAAGCGCCTTAGAGTACTTGAGAAATCAGAATGAAGGATTAAAAAATGAGTTACAAAAAAACGTTACTAAACATGAACTTTATCTCCAAAATGGTAGTAGCAAACTAGATAGAATAAGAAGTATGCTACAGCAAAATTTTGAACAACTTTCAGAGAATAATTACTCATTGAAGGAATTGTATGAACGTGATATCACTTCCACTGAAGAACTTTTTGATAAGTTTGAACGCTGGGACCACAGGAGAAGCAAAGTTTTAGATAAAATAAGGTCAATTAAAAGCGATGATAATAAGCATGGCAAGAAGTTGAATCACCTTCTCAATGAATCAGACATGATTGACGAGGAGATTTATCAGTTAGAAGAGTCTTTAATAAAATTGAAAAATAAGAAGAAGCTACTAAACCTAGAAATACGAGAAACCAGCTCTGTACTAGAGAGTAGATCATCTAAATACGTCAGCCTTTTCAAAGATTTAGATAAACAGGGCCTAGAAGCCATCATGAATTTTTTACAACTGAGTGGATTACCTGAAAAAGAACTAGACGTGATAATACGAAGGGCCCCAGTCAATGTAAGATTCAATAAGAATTCGGGTCCAAAACAGTCAACAAAACTATCTACATCATTAGAAGCAATGGGCCATAAAGAAACTGAACCTTTACGAGAGCAGAATCAGAAACTTCCTAAAAATAAAAGCCCAATAATCAACCAAGACGCCCTCACTTCTAGTAAAATGGGGGCCCAGCCCTTTTTAATACCCGAAGATGATCACCTAGCGACAAAAGTCGATCAATCTTCTTTGAATCATGACAAGGGACCAACCCCTTACGAGCGAGGGTTTGCTAAAGGTTCGGAAAAATCACACTTTGTTAAAAGCCAATTGAATAATCTAATGAAAAACTTCGTTAGTAAGAAAACAGAACAGGAAGACATTCTAACACGAGAGAATCTAAACAAAATCGAAATAAATGATGCTGAAAACACAGTTAGTGAGAAAATAGACATAGAACCAGTCATAAATCTTCTTAGTCTCAAGATAGAAGCTTTGGAGGATTTTGTTAGATCAACTTCAAAAAGCGCTGCTGGCTTCTATACCTTTGGTTTAATATGGAAAGATGCAGTAGATATAATTAAACATGAAGAATCTCAAATGTCCAATCGCATTTCCAACTCAGTTGACTCCAGAGCAGACTTAAATGGCTATATCATCCCATCTCTTATATCATCAATGAATGTTTTGAAAAAATTATTAAGTTCTCAGGCTGAATCCACATTGAAACGAAGAATGTTTGACCCTAATGTCTCTTACGAAGAGAAAATGCTCTATACCATCCTAAAAAATGAAATTCGATCGATTTATTTGGGTTTGATCTTGGTCAGTGAAGACAAAAATAAGTATGTGAATATTCTCGAATCGTTTCAAAAATTGGGATTCAATGATATTGATATCCCCTTACCAGAAAAGCTTTTACCAAAATCAAACAAAGATAATATGTTGAATCTGCAGAGTTCAACGAGTAATAGCATTGACTCCAAAAACCTATCCGAAACTAATTCTCACACCAATTTGAGTTCACTTCAAGGATCTGAAAGACAATTTAGATCACCCACTGAAATAACTGTTGCTAAGACAGGGCCAAAAATAGGTACAAATAATTTACACTTTCTTTCGTCTGGTTCAAAGAATAGCTCCACCGAACTTGACAAGTCTGATACTTCTCAGTCGCATGTCAAACGGGAAGATGTTGCTGCAAGCTTGTTCGAAATTGCAAATAAGCAAGTTAAAAGTGAATAGGTATTTTAATCGTCTTTAAGGTCTTTACATTAATTCTATATTTCATCTATTCTGACTAATTTGTAGCTACAATCAACAAGAATAATTAAATCTATTAATGTACATTATTTATAGTAGTCTAAGCTGTTATTTCAACGATTCTTCTTTCTCTTCTGAGGTATGAATATACTTGCCGGTTTTTCTATTACTCCAGATTTTGATGGTTTTATTTTGGGCCCACTGTCATCTTCAGCAAACGAGACCAGCTTTTTAGCTTGTGAATGTTTATGATCAGCATGATTACTATTATTGTCATGATAATTGTCATTATTTTTTGCACTCTCAAGTTTCTGATAGCTATTACCAAAGTATTCTCGTTTTTGGTGATTCCTTTGAGTTGGCTCGTATTTACTCGAAGTTTGTGATGTCCCCTTATTTTCAGTATGTGAAAAAAGCTGTTCGGGAGGTGGTGATCTTGGTGGAGGGAGAGGTGATGATCTTGGTGGAGGGAGAGGTGGTGACTTAGGAGGAGGGAGGGGAGGAGATTTGGCTGAGCTTATAGCAATGGCCGGTTTTGAAACACTCTTCTTTTTAACTGTGGGACTCTCAAATAAAGAGCTTCGCTTGAGAGATGATCCACCCACAGTATTAGACTTATGAACGTTTTTGTCTTTAGGTTGAGTTGGCATACCATGGCCGGCTTGCTTATTATTACCAGACTGGCCATGACCAGTATAATTGCCTTGTCTTTTATAGTTATGATTAGTATGTTGATTGTTATTGTGATTATTTGGAATTTTATCATCTTTTTGATTTTGTTGGTTACCACTCGATACGTTACTTTCTTTTCTCAATACCGACACAGACGAGTCTGATATAGTATTATCACTCACCGAATTTGGCACCGCAGCTTGTGTTGATATGTTTTTGGAGACATTAGAGGATGAGATTCTTGCTAAAAATCCAGGAGATGCACTGGTGATTGCATTACGTGAATCAGCGTCAGCCAAAAGTTTGGCCCATACTTTATTTCTGCTTAAAGAGCTTTTATTACCAAGAATCCATAGAGAAGTTCTAGCACGAGTTAGGGCAACATTCATACGACGAACATCACTTAAGAACCCAACATTACCAGACTCACTGGCTCTGACACAAGACATTATGATTATCTCTTTTTCTTGACCTTGAAAACCATCAACAGTATTGAAGTCAATCTCATTTAAAATACCAATCCCATATTTCTTTCTAAAGACATCTTTCAAAACTCTAATTTGTTCTTTATACGGAGATATTATCCCTATTCTACCCTTGAATTGGTCCTCTGGTAGAACTCTCATAAGTTTCTCAACTATTTCCAAAGCAACTCTGGCTTCCAGATAATTAAATAAAGATCTAGTTAGTTCGTGCTGTTGATGTGCACCAACAATATCAAAGAATCTGTAAGGACTAAGTGGAAATTGTTTGTGCCACGGTCTGTCGTTCTTCTCAAGCATATTCTTACCATCTTGTAAACGTGACTCATAAAATGCTTGACTTGGAAATTTAGAAATATCTGGATGCATACGATACTGCACATCTAAAAGATATACGGAATCGGGATGATTCTTTTGCATCCTAACGAATAAACTTTGTTCATAATTGAGTCCTGCAGCGGCTTGGGATAAAACAGTGGGTGGCAATTGGTTTGGATCACCAACCATCACACATCTTTTTGAACCATATCTCAAGGGTATGATAGCAGAAAGCTCAACACACTGACAAGCTTCATCAATGATCACTTGGTCAAAATTCATAGACAAACTTGCCAAAAAATCATGAGCTGAACCTGACAATGTAGAACAGATAATTTGTGCACCTGATAAGATCTTAGCTTGTAATTGCCTCTTTTCAATTTCTCTAGTACGAAAAGCGATGGAAGCATTTTCTCTTTGTTCATCCAATTTCTTTCCTAATTCGTTACGTTGTTTGGTGACTTCTCTTAATTGAGTCTCAAGTTCAACTATTTCATTACTAGATAGATTTGGTCTGTTTAATTTATCTCTGAGCTGATCTCTTAGACTGATACACTTTGTGTGTTCAGTTCTGATGCTAGGATCTATGACGGCTTGTTTTGATTGGGCTTGTAAATGTTTATCAATCAATTCCTCTAATGTAAGGTCTCTAACCGCAGCATTGATGGCATCACTTCTTCCTAAACGGACTACTTTTGGAGAAAACCTCTCACCTTTACTATCATTAACACCATCTTTCAAACGTAAAACCAATTCATCAACGGCTGCATTACTTGGAGCACAAATCAATACTTTGGGTCCTTGATTGGACTCTGGAGAGGGACTTTTTGACAGCTCAATACTTTTGGGAACATTAATTAGGTTCGCCTTTGTTTGAGATAAAGTATAACCCACAATTCCCAAAATGGTTTTCGTCTTACCAGTACCCGGTGGACCTTGAATTAAAGAAAATCCTTCATTAACAAATGATCCAATAATAGCTTTGGCTTGCGATTTATTCACTTTATGTATATCAACTATTCTGTTGGCCTCATCATCTCCAATTTCAAGATGATCTGCTGGTTTTCCTTTAATTATTTCTTCAGACAAGTCGTAAAACTCTAAGCCTTTCAATGAGGAATATTCTCTTTCAGTGGTAACCATCTGAGTAACCCGCATACTCAAAACAATAGACTTAGGGGTCAAGATTCCCATCATGGGCCCTTGTGGAAACACTCTTAATACAATATCACAATGGTCAGCACTAGCAGACTTTATATCTCGAACTTTAGCTAGACATGTTTGTGCACCAGGCGATTTTAGGAAATCAGCAGCTGCTTTGGCAGAAGAAAAATCTGTGGACTCGGCATGACCCAAGACTAACAAGTCGGAGTCTCCTATTTTCCTATCATTCAAATCTTGCTTTTTAATAGATGCGTAAACATCAAAAAATCCATCACAACTAGTTCTTCCTCCGATGAGAAGCTCAAAAGGAAGCTCCTGTTGGGTCCTTTTAGCTGACTGAATTCCTTGCCAGCATTCAAGCATTAAAAGAGGTTCTGTTGTCTTGATATAGTCCTTACAATCTTCGTAAGTCTCTTTTGTTTTCTTATAAATATCTCTGTCGTCTCCAGGATAATCACTCGTAGAATTATAGTTCCATTTTAAAATAGTTGAATAAAGGGGTTTTAAACTTACGTTAAGTCTAAGTCTCATTCTTTCTTCTCTCTTACGCTCCTCATCGATTTTCTTTGTTTGAGCAGATCTGTCTATAATTTTACCATTTATATCAACTTCAACGACTTTTGCTTTCTTCTTCTTATCAACGAATAAATCAGAAAAGTCAATATTATCATCATCTCCTTCTTCCGAGCTTTCAGAATCACGCCTCTTTCGTTTTGTTATATTCAAGGATCTTCCAACAGCTGGTGCTTTTGAATTGAAGCCAGCAGGTCTAGGTGCAGCAGGAGCAACAGTCGGACCAGGCTTGACAGATGGAGCTCTGTTAGACTTTAACTCTTTTCTAATAGCTTCTAAGTTTGCAGATTTATATCCCTTCTCAGCTGGAGGAGGTGCCACTGGAGGTTCCTTTGTCACTACACCAAACCTGCTTAATGTTTGCTGCTTAGTAGGTTTTTGATGTGTTTGATATTTATAGGCTGCTTGTTGATCTACTTGAACAGAATCCATAACCGAAGACTTCGAAGCTTTAGTTTTACGATTTTCGGCGAGAATTTGGTCAACGAGTGGCCCATCTATTTCACTTGCTTTCGCAAGTATGTCAGCTCTTTGTTGATCATTAAGCTTATTCTTAAATTTTTTTGATCTTGCACCAAACCTGGCGAATGAGTCAATGAATTTTATATCAACAGTGAAGTTTAAATCTTTAGCCAACTCTAATCCTTTAAAAACCAAAGTCAAACATAAATTCAAAAGCGAGGTATCACCCAACCTCAACCAAACAATCACATAATGGAAAGCTTTCATGAAGACACCAAGCAAGGAATATGATGTATTGTTATTGTTTTCATCACTCAATGCATTCAGAATTATCATAAAGGAATCAAGCAAAGAATGACTCAACTCCAAAGTATCACGAGTAAATTCAATAAGCTCCTCTAAATGATAATGGCTAGCCCAAAGTAAAGTTTTTTCATAAACCATCATTAAAAAGTGCCAGCTTTCTTCCCAAAGTCCTCTAATTTCAGGTTTGCAGAGCTCAGAAGATCTTATCGTGGCAATACCTTCCAAAGGATTAGTCAATGCACGGACAACATCCATAAGAATTCTAATGGTTTTTGGACAAGGTTCAAAAACTGCCAAATTGGTTAGAATGCGCAAGTTCTTATTGATTGCATTTAGCGACGATTCCAAGTTCAACTTAAGAAGACCACCAATTGCTTCAAGTCTACCAGCAGCATCAAAAGCTTGATAAGAGATATTAAGAGCAGCTTGATTCACAGAGGGAGAGAATAAACAAGAACAATAACTAATAGCAATATCTTTATCATTGAATATGCTTTTTAAAACATGAGAATCTGCTTGTTCCACCTTATCCAACACATTTCCTAATAATTTAAGGATGAGTGTAACGTTACCATTATGTCTGGCAATTGCATCAGACTTTTCCTTGACTTGTGTATTATTCTTCTTTTGAGAAAATTTGATGATATTGGAAGTATTCCTCATTGATTTAACCAATTCTTTGGTAAGCTGGGGATAAATATAAAGCTGCAGTTTGGCCAATTCCTCCCATAATAAGGGGAAAGCATCAAAGGAAGAAGGTATTTCATTGCCCAGTTGTTTTAATATACTGGAATTATGAGCTAAACTAATAATATCGTATTCCACGCTACTGGTTATTAAATGTAATGCATTGCTTGGTTCAGTGTTTTCACTTTCTTCAAGTGTCAAGTTCTTCAACTGTTGTATCGCCATTGAAACCACAAGGGGTGCTTGACTATCAACAGCTGCTCTAACGTCTCTTCTTTTCAATATATTCACAGCAAAATTAGGTTCAGCAAAATTAACTTTATTCATATCTATATCAAAACATTGAAGTAAAAGATGACAAGATTTTTGATTAAGTTGAGAGGTTTCATTTATAGAACCATTATCTGCCTCTCTTTTCTGTGATATTCTCATTAAGAAAGTAGAAATCCTCACGGCTGCAGTTTGTCTTTGTGAAGATGTGAGGGACCCAACAAACAGTAAAGTCCAATCTAAGAAGACACTGAGTTCATAATTGGAAGGATCTAATAAATATTTAGAAAAGTTGGGATTCAGGAGAATTGGATCCAAGAAGCCAGGAAATGGAACGGCTGAAGAATTTCTCCAAAAGTCAATGCCTACTGTTTTCAAAATAGCATCGAAAGCGGATAATAATGAGGGTAAAGGTTTATCTTGAATTGCCATCAAATTATTATAAAGGACTCTGATAAGATTGAAAAAATTGATTTCTTCAAGCTTTCTCATGACTTCAATATCTTTTGGTTCATTGAGTTTTAAAAATGCAGATTTATCAAGGAATGCAAGAAGTTTTGTAAGGGTATTCCAAAATTTGATACACAAGGCTTCAGTAAAAGTTTTAGCGTTTTGAACTTTGTAAAAATAAAGATTGAATTCATCTCGTACAACTTCATCTAATGTCTCTCCATCAAAATGGAAATTAGTCTCTTCCAAATGCTTCATACATTTATCTGACCAATCTTTTTCAAGAGAATCCCCTTCAATTTGGAAAAAAAGAAGACCAGCATATAGTCTATTTGGAAGAAGAGATTGGTCATCAGGAAACTTGGCAATTACCTTTTTAAGTAACTCTCTAATCAGTGGATCATTTCTTAGTATAGATGGTCCAATGATGCATTCTTTAATAGCATTTCTATCAATGTCAGTGAGGGAATAAGCCAGGTCAAATTTCTCCACACAAGATTGTAAAGTCAGTTTAATTCTCAAAGCTTGCCACGAATAAATCAAATTTACAAAACTTTCAAAAGAACCACGATCTAGTTGCCTTTCTATAAGGAACTTTTCACGTAACTTCGCAATAGCATAATTGAATCTGTTAATGCAGTTCTCACATGATTGTAAGCTTTGGATTAGAAGTTCATTAATATGACTGATTTCATCATTTTTTACACCTGGAAAAGAAAAAACGATTAAATAATGGGCAGATATTGGATATATATATTTATCACAGAAAAAATGACGAGGTGGGCAGTTTTTAGGTATGTATTTCATACATTTTATCAAAACTTCAGAATGCTTTTCAGAATTGCCGGGCTCCTTTTCAGCAGAAGCTAACGCACTAAAGATAGCTTCAAAATCAGCAGGCGGTATATCACTAACCCGCTCATCCATTCTTCTATTCTTCTCTAAGTCTATTACAATATAAAAGGCCAGAAGCCGGTGCAATACGGTGATTATAGAAGTAAGAAAGAAAAGAGGATAGACGCTCTTTTTTTTTCAGTGCCCATCAAAAAACTAAATCGAAGACGCGGTCCTTTTTTTTTTTTAAAACTTTTTGTGCACCAGACACATTTTTATTGCAAAATCTATAGGAAAGTAACTAAGTATATAAAGTATTTACAAAAGAATTATATCTATATCTAAAGCTCTGGCAGAAGTGATCCAATCTTCACCGGTGTCCCAGCACCGAGTCATGATTTGAAGACCTTTCTTTGCACTAACACTGCCACTTCGAGCCAATCTAGTAAATCTATCGAAAAATAGATCTCTTTTAGAAGAATCCAAGGTTTCACAGCCAGCGCAAAATAAGCAGAAAATAGTACATATTTCAGCTGAGCTTAGGGAAGGAATGGTGGTTTCTAATATGTAGCCTATTCCATTGGCCAAGTCTTGAATTAGGCTTGAATTACGAGGAATTTTGAGGACTCGACGATAAAGATTTAAAATACCCATGTCACAGAAGATTTTATTGGTACATCTTAATATTTTATCCTGTTGGATTAAATTGGTAATGTTGAGGTCTTTACTTGTAGCATACTTTTTCTTGAATATCAAGTCTAATTCTGCCTGGCGTCTTGCTTCTCCTTCTTCGAATGCTTTGGTAAAATTCTCCTTTAAGTTCAAAGCGTCTGTCACTAAAGTAACCGGAATGAGATCTGAATTATAATTTTCTGATTTTTTAATGAGTATTGAAATCTCAGCAAATTTTGGAAAAAGATTGACGTCGAAACCCAACAAATAATCAATATCCTTTTTAGGATCTTGATCTGATTCTTCAACCTTAGAGTCAAATGTTTTCAAAGGAGTTTCACTATCATAGTACAAAGGTTCACTAGAAATCTTTGCGGTTGATAATGATCCTATTACATCGACATATAAAAACCATCTCATTAGAAAGAAAGAAACGTCACCTTCATTCCTGGAGGGAACGACTCCAACGTTTGAATGAGATGATTCAGCCAATTCTTCTTTATTTCTTGCCCTAATGATTTGTCTAGCACCTGTAGTATGAGCTCTATGACGTTCCATACTTTCGGCAAAAAAAATTTCATAGGCTGAAAATAATAAAACTGTTGCTAATGTACCATCTGATTTTGCCTCGTCTTTATTTTTCAAACACTTCAATAATTCATTACATGCTCTGCTCAATAATTGATCGATCAATTCTTTAGGAATATAGTTTGCATTCTCACCTAAAGTTGTTCTAGCCTTGGCTGCAAAAGTTAATAAGATTAATAAAAGTGAAGGGATTTGCATTGCCATTTGAGGTAATAAAACCTTGAATGGATTATCTTCATAAATATTTGATGGTGCTGGAACTAAATTGTTACTGAATACTTCAACCCAGAAATGCATAAGACTACGGTACAAAGGAATACGTAGTAAATAATCTGGTAAAGGTGTTAAGGGGGGTGGAATCAGACTAAAATCATAGTAGGGACTATTTTCTTCATCCAATGCAAGTTCATTATCATATGTTATAGTTTTTGGCGAGGATGATGATGACAAGGATTCGCTAACAAGCTTAGGGTGTTTTGGGAAAAAAAATTCAATTTTAGCTAAATCTTCAGAATAATTATCAAAGTTTTGATTAGAATCACCAATCTCATCAAAAGGATCGATTTTGTCAAACTCCTCTATTTTAATCTTGTCATCATGCATCATTAAATTATTAAATATATCCGAATTCTGCAAATTAAGTTCATGAGTACCATTTGAGATTCTATCTAAGGCATTGGATAACGATTCTATTCCATCGGAGATAGAAAGCTCAGAGTTATTAAATTCGGGTTCGTGATCATCTTCTACAATTGGGAAGGCAGGAGATAAAAACCCATTTTCAACTTGTTCAAATTGATTTGCCAGAGCCAAGTCGGTTATTGGAGTGAAATCCCCAACACTTAACATGGCTCTTTTCTTATTAGAACCCGGAGACGAATTACTCAATAAAGATGAACTTTCATCCATTGAGACCGATTCTGGAGTATCAGTCAGTTTCCGTTTCTCCCTTCTATCAATTGACTGAATTGAGCTCAGTGAAGACATTGGAGTACTTGCTTGACTCAAATTTTTCGATAAATCGCTAACCACAAATTGTATATCCTTCTTTCTTTTAGACTTATTTTCATTTTTCACTTTAATTTGGCTGACAGAATACTTTTCCTTTCTCTTCAGTAAATCTTTATAAGGTCTTCCTCCCCAAGTTAATTTCAACGAATAATCACATTCGCTATTGGTTTTAATACAATTCTCACATGATGGCCGGGTCTCACTGCAACGAATCTTCTTCTTCTTACAGTTGGAGCATCCCGTTCTTGATCTTTGAATTTTTTGAGTCTTGGGCCTAGGAGGTTTGGTTGTAGATTCTTCTTCTTCTTTGGCCTGATTATCAGCGGAATTATCGTTATTGGAATGATTCATTGTTCCTAAAAGTATTTAATGAATATTTCGAAAACGACAGAAATGATTCATCTTTCATTCAACATTTATACCAAAACCGTTCTTTAGTAATTGATTTAAACCTATTGACTTGAGTTTCAAATCAAGGAATAGTGTTTTCAGCAGCGGTCTGAACGGTTTTTCAATCTTTTTTTCCGTCACATGGAAGTCGCATGCACATTCCCAATGGGGAAGGTAGACATATAATTAGATATATATATATATAGATTTAAATTTAGATACAAAGAAAGATTTAAATACATATATATAGACATACATTAGATACAATTAACTATCTAAGAGACCACCTTTCTTCTTTTCAGTATCTCGCTCAGCGTATTTCTTCCCGTATAAGATTTTGATCAATTTTTCACTCATTCTGTAAAGATAACCCGCTAAAATAATTATTCCTCCAAGAATAGTACCCAATCTAGCTACAAATTGAAGGAACGGAATTCTTTTTTCAGAGATAATCAATTTGACGGGTTCAAAATCATAATGGAAATAAATTCCTGGAACACCTTGAGGTCTACCTCTTGGATCGGTCTTGTAAACACGATGTTGTTCACTTAATGAATATTGATTAGTGTCGATTTCTATACCTAGTCTTTCGTACATCGTAGGCACAACTTTTGAGTAGTATTTAAATGCTTGAAGTTTTTCTTCGGTAGTTCTACCAGTGAAATCCAATGGGTTGTTTATAAATGGATAGAAATCACCGTAGGAAAATTCCTTAATTACGTGGGAAAAGTTTAATGCTTGGAATGGAACAATCAGGCGGTCTCTGTAACCAAACCCTTTACCGGTAATACGAAAATCACCACTGACTTGATTAACTGGAATCGAACCAAATATATGACAGGCTGGTGCATCTTCGTGTATTCTTGCACCACTAACTCTAAACTCTGCTCGGAGTGTTTCTTGCATAATTTCATCAAGGTCAGGAGTATCATGTGCATCATTGTGTTTATTTATTTGGAATCCTTCTGGTAAAATGAAATCAGTACCTTGGAAATTCAATAACTCTGCTGCTAAAAAACGATCATCGGTGATATCCATAACATTGGTATGCAAAAACTCACATGGCATGGCCACAAGCATATCTAGATTTATTGACATATCTGTATTCACTTGGTCATCGATCTTGAATTGGTGGTCTACGTATCCTCCCAAGTATCCACCAACTTCAACCCAAAGAATTAACAAGGCACAAAATCCCGTGAGAAGAGTAGAGAGACCTCCTCTCTTCGATTGAACAGTATGCTCCGAATCAATCTTAGGAAACGCATCGAACGTACGAACCTTCTTGGAGAACGAATCCATCTTTATTGACTATTAGCAAGAAGTTAATGCTATTCGACAACGACTTAAATCGTGTTCAACTGAAAAAAAAAAAAAAAAAAAAAAAAAAAAAAAAAATAAAAAACAGTTAGTGGATTAACATGCAGGATAATATCGCTTTGATTTATAAGATTTTCACTTATCTCTAATGGATCCAACTTTAAATGCTATAGAATGACAGACTTGACGCAAGAGATAGAGTTCTCTGAGGACGTAAAGACTCAAGAGCTCCAATCTCTTGAAATTATCTATCCCAGTGTAAAGATCAACTACGAATCGTTGTCTGGATCACTAGATATACCCGTCAAAAATGATAAGGGCATTGAAATAGTTTACAAGTCTGACAACTCCAAGATTGAAAAACAAAAAATATTCTATTTGCCTGCGATAAAGTTCACATTCCGGTTAATGGAACGGTATCCTTATGATGCACCTCCCGTATTACGAATATTTTCTAATGTGGTGTCAAGCACTAAAAGCTCAACCCTTTTAAAAGAGCTTCTTCAATGTTGGGAAGATTTGAAAGATTGTATAATTTTCACCCTTGTGGAAATGATTCAGAATAAAATACATTATGAATTTGATGAGTTTATCGGATCGGTAATCGAATGTGAGAGCATTGGAAGGTTCAATTATCTATGCAAATTCAATAAAGATGAAGAACAGTTGGCTTTCAATAATTTAACCTATTTATGTGGAATTTGCCAGACCGATTACAAAGGTGAGTATTGCTCTAAATTTGAATGTGGGCATGTTTTCTGTAATGATTGTTTATTTGAATATTTCACCAGTTTGATCGAATCAGGTTCCATTGAAAGAGTTCATTGTCCTGAATACGAATGCACAACTAAATTATCCAAGATCAGAGAAAAGTATTTACGACTTGATAATATAACAAATGAAGCCTTTGACTTTAATGAATTCAAATGTCATCTTATGACTCCCCCAATATCACTAGATCTACTCAGATCTATTCTCGTTAAAAGAACTTCAGACTCTGAAAAATTCGTTGCTAGGTATGGAGACTTATTCATGAGGCAAAATCATGCAATAATTACAAAGTTATTCCCAACAAGATTGGTCCCATGTTTCAATGAAAATTGTCCTGAAATGATCTTTAGAGAAGATTTGACGGACCCTTTGGTCATTTGCAGAAGGTGTAATAGTGCTTTTTGCCAGAGATGTCGTAAATCGTGGCATGGGAAATACGTCGAATGTAAAGGTAAAAGAGGACTATACTCGAATATCCCCATCAAAGCATTAGATTTATGGATTGAATCTTCAGAGGATTCAGAAGAAAGAAAAAAATTAAGCTCAATGTATGGAAGAAATGCAATGGCAAAAATGTCAGAAGAATACAGAATGGATATCTTGTTTGATGAAATGTTAAAAGAAAAGGATAATTCACTTCAAAAATGTCCAGTTTGTGAAATTGTCATTCAGAGATCAGATGGTTGTAATAAAATGAAATGTTCAACATGCCAGACCCTCTTCTGTAACTTATGCGGAACCTTTTTGAATCCTGATGATCCATACTATCATTTTAATGATAAACACAGCGACTGCTACGGACGTCTTTTCGAAGGTCTCGTGAAAAACGATGACTGAAACTACAGGTAAAAAATTGTATATAGATTATATTTATTTAAATAAACCTAACGAAAAAAAAAAACTGAAAAAAAAATGTAATACATAAAAAAAAGCTCTCCGACTACCCAACTACTCTTCTAAAAGAGGGTCGACGAATCAACACAAGTTAACTATAGTCACAACTAAACACAAAACATGTTTAGAAGCAACTTGTCAGACAGCCACTTATACCCACCCAATACTAAAGCCCCCGAAGAGGCATGAAGCAAAGGGTAAAGATCATCGCTCCTTTCAAGGCGAAAACGAAACAAGTTCATCTCGCATAAACAAAAGGCAAATAAAGATAGATGACTGGACTGCTAAGAATCACAGACAAGCTAAATTGTTTCTCACTTTGAGGGTATAAGGGTATCTCACTCATCAACCAAGTTGGATTCAGTGGCTCTTTAGAAGAGTCAAAGATGGGACGTGACCTATAGAAATGATCCTATGAAGTACGTCGACAGAGAAAAAAAGAAGTAAAAAATTTTAAAAGGACGAGAAATCGAGCTTCTTTTATACCATTTTCTGAAGATGAGATGCAAAAAAAAAAAAAAATGAAAAAAAAAAAAATGCGACCGGGTAACACGACTAAACTCTTGCCCTACTTTTTGCAACCTACAACATTATTATATCTCGGATGATAATCATGTATTTATAAAACTAGTAAGACAGAGGTTTCTTAGGTGGTCTGGAGTACCTGAAGCATTCTCTCACTAAACGTCTTCTACGGAATTCATATACGCTGTCAGAAGTGTCAGCATTTTTCAATTTATCATAGATCCAACCTTCCTTTTCATCATCTTTAATTAGTAAATAAGTTGAATCTATTTGTCTTTCTTCCAAAAATCTCGAAGGATCGATATCTATACCCCAGTTATTCTCGTACCCAACATCAAATTTCCATTCCGGAGGAGGTAAGACTTTCGATAAATGTTCAACTCCAGTTGGTCTTTTTCCAGATAACCTTAAATGATCACGGCAATTGAACAATCTGTTTGAATAGCAGTAAAAAGACCATTCATTTTTGGTCAAGCTTTTGACTTCTAACTCATATATTTCCACGACGCGAACGTCAGCAGCATCATCGATGATAATGTCATGTCTATCGAACTTTTTTGGCTCCTCATCTTCTTTAGGTAAACCAGAATCTTCTTCTTTCTTTTGTTTTTGCAATTTTTGCTTTTGTTTATTTTTCAGGATGGCGACTAAAAGTTTTTTACTATGTGGATGGCATAAAATAATACTTAACCAACCCGATTGAATGAAAATGAGTCTCCAAGGAATAAATCTCCCCAAGAACAAGACGATATAAGTAGCAATGGCTACTATATAGAAAAGAAACGTCGAAAATCTTTCATCTTTAAAACCTGCAGTTTCAAACCAAAATATTTCTGCTTGGTCAAATGCAACTATAACATCAGATGTTAGATTCTGTAAATCTCTCATATTGAGAAACAAAGACATTTGAGACTTCACATAACGAGCTCTTCTCCTCTTAGTTAATTTTTCATTCACATCAACTGGGTCACTTGCAACAGAGTTGGCCGAGACTGGCTGTTGAGTGAATACAGATGTTGAACTTTCCGAGCTTATTGAGCTCGTTGGTCGAAGTTCATGCTCTTTGAATTCATCACTGAGTAAATCAATTAAAATACTATCTTCCAGTGATTGGTTAAAGAATTCAAATATAGATTGTCCCCTTTTTTTGACCTTTATGAGTTCAGGAGTTTTCATAGGATGTCTATGAATATAAGCAGGAATCATTATTCCAAAAAGCAAAAATAATAATGGCAAAGCCAATACAAGGTGTGGCCATAGACAAACTGCGGTATACATCACTAAGAATGATAAGGTTTTTGTGGGTCTCTTCCATGTAACAATATGTATTAACCCATACTGAATTTCAAAAAACCCACTCATTTTGGTACTTAATTTTTTAAAGTTCGAGGCAATTATCTTTAGGGAAAGACCCGGCCTCTTGGTTCTTTCTGGATCGTGTAATCTTTCTTCAATTATTTGCTTGTCATCATCTGGCATGGTATTTTTCAATAATTTTTCAACAAAATGGTCCATGAAATGGCTAGTCTTACTATCCTTTGGCTCCTCCATATCTTTAAGTGCATTCAATTCTTCATCCGAGAAAATATCTGTGTCCAAACTGTCTCTTGAGTCTCTTCTTTCAGTCCTATCAATACCCATTCCAATCACGGAGGCTGCGGTCCCTGCTGCTAGTCCTCGATTAGTACCAACATTCTTATCAGCCCAATTACTGGTGTACTTGTATGCTTTGTTCAACGCTCTTAGTCTCTTGGAATTGGAAGGATCATTGTTTGAGCTAGACATCTTTTAGTTGCTTGTTTGTTCAAGAAGAGTAAGGGATGATAAGAGTTGGAATGTATTTAAATGCGGAGTTGATTCAGTCAAACACTGGATTGTTTTTTAACTTTTTTCTGACTTGCTCGGTCGCAAATTTTAGTCACATGAGGACTTCGGCTAAATACTGTTTAAATGGAATGTTAATTATTACGATTTGTTACTATTTATATGATATGATATAGGTATGTATGTATGAAAGTGATGATCCTAGTTTTGTAGGAAACGGTGAGCTAAAAGATCTGCAGCATTTAATCTTTCATTAGGATCCCATTTGAAAATAGACTGCAAAAATTTGATGAAGGATTGACCAGTGCTTCGGTCTTCATTATTTGCAGCTAATTTGAGCATTATTTCCAAGTTTTTGGAATTTAATCTGAAATTACGCCTGGGAGCTGTATTATTATAGTTGTTTGGAGTCTGGGACTGAGCGATCGTTTGTAATCTAACGTTTAGAAATTGTAAATTAAATTTACCTTCTGAATCAAATAAAGTATACAACAAGGTACGCTTAATTGATTTTTCATCAATCGAACTATTTTTATTCATGTTATTTTGATTCATTAAAGCACCATCTAAGATGTTTTTAGCAGCATTTTGACTCCTTATGGATCTTAATAAGAGATTACGTTGAGACACGATTAGAGAACTACTAGGTGCCCCAAATACTTCTGAAATGAGTCCTATTTGTTCTAGTTCATTTTTCCCAGGGAAAAGAGGTATTCCCGTGTATAACTCTGCAATAACACAACCAAATGACCAAAGGTCAATCATGGAGTTATATTTTGCACCAATGATAACTTCTGGAGCCCGATAAAATCTTGATTGGATATAAGAGTAAGAAATTTCATTATTAAAACAAGAGGAACCAAAATCAATAATTTTAATCGTAAAGTCATTACATTCATTAATACTATTAGGATCAAAATTATTAGGAAACTTAATCATTATATTTTCTGGTTTAATATCACAATGAATAATTTTATTATTATGAATAAATTGTAACCCTTTCAAAATCTGATAAGAAAATTTTTTAAGTAAATTTATTGAAAAACCTTTAAATTTTGTGATTTCTAGAAGCGAGTATAAGTTTAATGAAAGAACTTCAGTAATAATACACATATGACCACGGAAATGGAAATGATCATAATAAGTTAACACAGGAGACTCTTTACTATCATTTCCATATTCACGTAAATATTCCAGATCAAAATTAGAAATATTTATACCCGGTCCCCCAACTTTGAAATTTTCATTTAAATGTTTTAACATTTTGATTTCGTAAACTGCTTGTAATGACCAATTTAAATCATTTTTAATAATTTTCAAAGCAACCATTTTATTTTGGTTACCATTGAAATATTTATGATCCTTACAAAGTACAACATTACCAAAAGAACCATTACCTAAAACACGATCAATCTCGTATCGATAATTTATGTGATCATGAGGAATAACAACGTAGTTGCCATTATCGTCATCAAATCCATAATTATCACTGTAACTTCTGATATTTATTGTACGAGTAGATTGATTATTTGTGGGGATGTAATACAAATCTTTTTTCCGAAGAATTTCACCTCTTTCATAAATATTGAAAGATGCTTCACCATGAGATTCAGCACTCGCAATAACATCTTGAGGGGCAAAGGGAGGGTTTGTTGTAAAAGAATAATCTTCTGATTCTTTTTTATATTCGAATAATGATGGATCTTGGTGGTAAACTATAGTACAAAGTTGTCTAATGCTATTAATTTTATTAGATTGAACTAGTGGTGGAGCTTGTTTGATTGGAGATTGTTTTGGAGTCATTAGTTCTGAAGGTCTTTTTGAATCATATTTCATAGAACGAGAAGATTGATCTTGCTGTTGGTGCTGGAGGCTTTGTTGCTGCTGTTTCAAACCACCCAATTTCGTATACGGATGTTCTTTTTTCTTTGGAAGCACCGATGGCTCATCACCAATAACGTGAGTTGGAGAAATGCTAATGTCACTTTCACTTCCGCTTGATATATCAACGTACAGTAAATTTCTTTTCAGTTTTGAATCTTGAGCCAATTGAGAAAATTTACTTGTGCTATAATTTAAATTAATTGAGTCCAGTGATTTGTTTGGTGTTGATGTAGCTTTCTTGGTATTACTGGTGAGTGTTGGAACTTTATTATTTGAAAGTTGGCGTTTTTTATATCCATTTAGACTACTTCTTTTATGATTAATCTCCGATACTGATCTAGATCTACTCCCAGTGGCAGCAGCAGCAGCTATTGCCGCTGTAGAACTAGGATTTGAAGAATTAGGAGTCGGAATTGGCGATTGATAAGGAATAGACTGTTTATTTTTGGAAGAGGAAGTTTCTCTCATGAAAGAAAATCGTTGATCATTTTCATTAGTAGTAGATTGATGTAAAGCATGACTAGTAGCAGCTCTTGCCAGAGGTGGGCAACTTAGATAACGTTTATGAGACTGTTGTTTTGAAGGAGGCAATGATTTCGAACTTGCTTTATGATTTAAAGGTAAAGGTTGAGTTATATTAGAAAGAGGTTTATTTTGTTTTGGAGTCTTAGGAAGTGAGGGAAGTTGTGAATGCAGTTGAGATCTGTATTGATTGGATGATAGTGAGTTTGACGAAACCAGACGACTTCTAATTTTACTTCCTGGATTATTAGTTATAGAAGGAATCGAGGATTTTTGTTTATTTATTGTATTATTTGACAAACCTGATTTTGATTCCGCTCTTCTAGCAGTAGAAAGGAAGGGAGACCTTGAAGTAGTAGTATTACTTACATTTCGAATGCCTGAAGATGATTGAGTATTATTATTTGGGTATAAAGAAGAAGGATATAATTTCTTATTCTTGGTTGGACTTTGAGATATTATGAAATCGGTTGTTTTAGTATATGGAGGTATCACCTTTTGTAAAGAATGGGTTGAATTCGAATTTGTGATTCTGGAAGGAGATGACTCTTTCTTTAATATAGGAGGATCTCCAAGCTTTGGAATTCCAATATCTATTTTAGCAAAACGATCTTCAAAATTTGGAGATAGTTTATGGGCCAGCATTTCATTTAACTTGATTGAAACTAATTTTTTTTCGAAAAATAACAAAGGTAAGTTTAACCTAATGTTCGATCTTATCAAATTTCATACCAATAAGGGTTTCCCTTTCCCTTACAAGACCAAATCTTCTTCAGAAACCTAACAGGTAGTTCCCAACCTATAAACGAATCGGATCTGATACTGCTGTTTTTTCTGCCATAAGAAAACCTCCGTACACCAACCGATGTTGAAAAATTACGCGCTCATCTCAACTGTATTATTCTATGATATTGATTATATATTCTATGATTATATATTCTATGATTATATTTTCTATGATTGTATATATTCTATGATTGTATGATTATATATTGCATGGTATAAACATAAGGGATATAGATAGATATAGAGATACAAATTGAAGTATGGCACCAGCAAACAGGATGATCATTGATCCTAGTTCATATAGTAATCGAGACCTCCTTCTATTCACACAATTACTCCATACCAAAGGGTACATTGAACCCAAGTCAGTGGAGAACAACGACTCAAGTCTAGACGATATCAGCACCGAATGGTTCCATCATACCTCTACCCAACTTTCGATTCAAGACGGATTACCCATAGACAAACCCTGGAGTCGACAACAATGCTACCAGCTATACCAAAACTTGCTCAAACTGAACCCGGACTGTGAAAACACCACCGACCTAGCCAACCACTACTACTACACCAGAATCAACGAACTTACTTCCAAGATTGACCAGTATAAACTGACCTTCCCCAATTTGGAATAAACCCGCACACCAAGAAAACACTCCGTACACCACCAACTTACTCCCCTCCGTATTGTTTGGTCCCTCGGTAAACAAGTATAAGAGCGGTTGCGGTCGTCCTCCCCACACTCCTTCATTTTCCAGTTTTTCTACAACAGTTTGTGTTGATGAGCAGAGAAAGGATAAACTCATTGATTTTAATAGACTCTTCTATCATATGTTGAAATTAGCCTTACTAAATTAACGATGTCAAGTCAAAATTCACTTGCACTTTCAATTTTTAATGTATATAAAGGTAATAGATCACTTTTTTTAAATGCATCTTATATCATATTGATAACCGCAGCATTTTCAGGAGCAACTACTACAAAATCTAGTCGCCAATCTGAAAATAGTGGACAACAGGATAATACTCCTTCCGATACCCTTCAAAATGCTTCAGATAAAGATTTGACTTCCACTCATGTTAAACCAGTTAATAAGTCAGTTAAATTGTCGAAAGAGTCCTTTCGTCGATTATATAAGGCTTCAATACCTTCGTATGCAAATCCAGTGGTTGCTTATTTTGTGAGTAATCTTGTATTACTTGTTATTAGAGCTTTTCTTACCATTAAAGTTGCAAGTTTAGATGGTAAGTTGGTTGGTGCATTAGTCTCGAAGAAGTTGAAAAAATTTGGTAAATTATTAGCATTTTGGATGTTTCTTGGTTTACCAGCTTCAGTAGTTAATTCTTTATTAAATTATACTAAAAGTAAATTACGTCAACATTTAAGAATCAACATTAATAATAGTATAATGGAAGATTATTTACCTGATTCTTTAGATCCAAATTATTATTCTTTACTTCAATTATCTGATTCTAAAATTAAAGATCCTGATCAAAGACTTTCTACTGATGTTTCTCGTTTAGCTTCTGCTTTATCAAGTTTACCTGGTCAATTATTAAAACCAACTCTTGACTTGCTACTTTGTGCTAAAGAATTATCGAAAAGTGGAGTGGGCTCCGGTGAAGGTACTTTAGCCTTGGGATTATTAGCTTATTTTTCAACTACTATCCTTCGGTTTTTCTCTCCTCCATTCGCTAAATTAGCCTCCGAAAGAGCTAACTTGGAAGGTCAATTAAGATCTGCCCATTCAAAAGTTGTAACTAATAATGAAGAAATTGCCTTTTTACGTGGCCATAATCGTGAATTAGATTATTTGGATTATTGTTATTATCAACTTGAAAGATTTCTTAAAATGGAATATTGGAAAAAAGCTGTTCATGAAATTGCTCAAACTTTCATTGTAAAATATTTTTGGGGTGCTGCTGGTTTAGTCTTATGTTCTGCTCCGGTTTTCATTAATAAATATTGGGGGGAAGAACCTGATCCTTCTGCTTCTGGTGATTTCATCACTAATAGAAGATTACTATTAAGCGCTTCTGATTCTTTAGATCGTTTGATTTATTCAAGAAGATACCTTTTACAAGTGGTTGGTCATGCTACAAGAGTTGCGGATTTGCAAGATGTCTTGTACAAAATTAAATCTTCCAAAAATTCAAGTGTAAAAGATGAAGGTAACGTATCGTATGGTGATGAAGTTACTTTCAAAGATGTTCGTTTAGTAACCCCTGCAGATGTTACTTTAATTGAAAAACTAAATTTCAGTATTAAACCTGGTCAACATTTACTTATTGCTGGTCCAAACGGTTCTGGTAAATCTTCTCTTTTCAGAATGTTGGGTGGGTTATGGCCTTGTAAAGAAGGTCAGATCATTATTCCAACTACTGAAAATATGTTTTATTTACCCCAAAGAGCTTATTTATGTAAAGGAAGTCTCAGAGAACAAATCATTTACCCTCATACTGAAAGTCAATTTAAACAAAATAAGTCTCGTAAAACTGACAATGATTTAAAGCAAATTTTAGAAATTTTAAATTTATCAGAATTACTCACTTCTTCAAATGATGAAAACCCTTGGGATTCAGTTCGTAATTGGTCAGAAGAATTATCGGTTGGTGCTCAACAACGTTTGGCTATGGCTCGTTTATATTATCATCAGCCTAAATTTGCAGTCCTAGATGAGTGCACCTCTGCTGTTTCTCCATCAATGGAACAATTTATGTATAAACGAGCTCAAGAATTAGGAATTTCTCTCTTATCAGTTGCTCATAGACCTGCTTTATGGCATTTCCATAATTATTTACTCAAATTCGACGGTAAAGGCGGTTACTTCTTTGGTGAATTGGACGCTGAAAAAAGATTACGTTTTGAAGAAGAACGTCTTGTATTGGAGAAAAACTTAAGAGATGTTCCAGTGCTAAAAGAACGTCTTGCAGAATTAAGAAAGGTTTCAAATGCTCAACATTTAAGATATGAAAAGTCTCATAAGAATTTAACTGAATTAGCCAGTCACTAACCCTATTTATTAACTAGCTGCTATATAGAGAATTTAAGTATTTATAAATAATAAACATGAAGTTATGATGAAACATAAAATTATGTAAGGTTTCTCTGTGAACATCAAAAGAAAACTGCAAAAAAAAAAAAGGCTAAAAAAAAGAAAGATTAACCGCCTACGTCTATTCTTATCAATACACCTACAAAATGACTCGTGAATCATCTCCGGCAAACAAGAGAGTTAAGAGAAGGGAAGTTTCAAAACCTGATAACACTTCGTCCATTAACAGTCTTGGGAATCCCGGGGACGAAGTGCTAATTAACGATGATATTGAAATACCTAAAAAAAACACTGAACTAATGCCAAAATGTATTTCAAATGAGGAAAAGAACTCAAGAGAGTCCATCAAGTATGAAGAAGAATCTTTGGATTCCATTGCCTCGAAGTTTACCCAACACAATATCAAAATTCCTGAATCATTCAGTTTGAAAGAACTAGACACACTTAATGAAATTGCTAAACAAAACATGCAGAAACTAGAATCACTAAAAGCTGCTCAAGATGTTTCCCCATTCGTTTGGAATGTCTTGGAAGATGCTTACAATGCTATCTTTGATGATTATACTAATACATCGCAGGAAATTCTTATGAAATTAGAAGAATCTTTCAAAGTACGTTCGAAGCTCTTTCTTCTTTCTAGAACATTACTAACTTCTCTAATAGCAACGAGTTGCATGGCAAGATCTTGTTTTCAATTTAGATAGATTTAGAAGTATTCACAGGTGTGTAAAAAACAGGAATGGTGTTTCTTTACATCAAAAACTAACCATCTACCAGACTCACTAATTCCGAGAGGTCAATCACCGCAAAGGAAGCAGTGATTAATATGAAGAAGCAGAAGATGAAACGTTCTGCCAGTCTTATACAATGTGAATTGGGTAAATTCAAAATCTTTGAGTAATTATTTACTGCAAATAACTTAAAATACAAAAATCAAAGAAAACAAAAAAAAAAAAAAAAATCAAAAAAAAAAAATCAAAAATCAACGAGAAAATAAGCTGCTATCTTTATATAGTAGTCTTTACTATGCTATATTACTTACGTCTCGCAATAAGCACCGGTGTATCTATGCTTTTCCGAATTTCCCGATCAATACTAAGCACGGTGTTGGGGTATGGCAGCAAAACAACAGTCATTCGGGGCGTAAGCACCTGCCAACCAAATAAACCACCGTATATAATGGTTGCATCCATAGCAAACCCTGAACCTAAATACAAAGGAACCCGTCATAATGTGGGATCATATATATTAGATCGAATAGTAACACAAGAATGGCAAGAATTCAAGCCTTTTGAAAGTCATGCCAATTTACCTCATGGGATCTATAGTACTAGTGTCGAAACGGAGTCTAAAAGAGCCAATCTCTTCTTCTTCAAGTCAATTTATCTGTTCATGAATTTACAAGGAAGACCAATTGCAGAGACTTGGTCTAACTTCTCTCGTGTTCAACTGACCAAATATTCTCCTGCCTTAGTCATTATACATGACGAGTTACAGATCCCCCTTGGAAAGATACAGATTCGCCGACAGAATACCAGTGCCAGGGGCCATAATGGGCTACGCTCAATTAATGAATCAATGGGTATGGGCTATACTAAAATCGGTATAGGTATTGGCAAACCAAAAAATACTACTCATGAAAAAGGAGTGGCGGACTATGTTCTTTCATCCTTCACGCAAGATGAATTGATGTGCCTAGCATCAAATGTAGTTCCACAAGTGACCTCTATTCTTGACGAAATGGCCTCCGGGAAGCATGTATTCGAAGTCTTTGATCCCCAGACTGATTCCAAAAGAAAAAAATCATAACTGATTCCATCTGCGCATAAATATCTACAGAATTGCATAATATATCATTATAACGTATCCGTGCATAGTAGTTATACTGTAAATAAACGTAAAATGCTGTTGGTATATGTATTTGGCAGCCATAACTAAGTGGCCCGAGTCTCGTTAAACAGGAAAAAAAAGCAAAAACCAAAAAAAAAAAAAAAAAAAAAGTTTAGTGTACTCTTATCGCTACGATCTCACAAGTTATCAATAAAAGCACAGACCAACTACGTTCTTCATTACAGAAACCTATTAGCCAAAGTTCACCCATAATAAACCTTGAGTATACACGCGTCGATTCCTGTGGACAGTCTTGATATTCTAAAGTTGACTTATCAGCATTTGCCAGGACAAGCATCCTTAAGAGAACGAGCCATCAACGCACTCTCAATCCGCCTCCTTGTCCTTTGTTAAACGAATCTAACTATATTCAAGAGGCGATATGGAGTATACTCTTCATCTCACAGCTGAGAGATCAGTAGTGAGGGAGTCTTTAAAAGGTATGTGAAAGATAAAGAAATATAAGACTAATCGAATATAGTATGACTAACTAATTAATATAGGTATAATATGGACAATATTCTTTCATCGACTTTTTGGGCCCATCACACCAACAACGAACGAGTTTTTGAATACAACATATCCAATGGCATCTAATCTACCAGATTTGGACTCTTTAATAGACGAAAAAATATCCTATTTGATAAAATACCATTTTGATAGGCCGAATATTAAGATCAATGATCGAAGTAGTTTCAAAACTAATAACGAAAATCCTAATAACGAAATCAAAATTCTGGAAGATGATCAGTCAAGCCTGTTACTGCCAAACACGAAGTCTAATCTCAATGCAGAAGATTCAGATACTTTTAAATGGGGACAAATAATTATATATTTTCTTGATAAAAGTACTGCCAAAATCAAGAAGAAAACTGGTTGGTTCGGTCAGGGTAAAAGTGATAATGAAGGTGATTTGAGTCCATGGGAGTCATGGACAATTAATATTAAGTGTCTACCCTTAGATTCAGACCGTAATACCTCATCAACAAAAGATATATCAAATGTTTCTAGTATGGTGGGATTGAATGAGTCAAAGGATAACCTTGAATTATCTACTGAAAGCTTTGACGAAAATATGCAATATATTGTTTATATTTCTGATACTCATAAAGATCATATCCCTCCTATAACATCATTAGAAAGTTCACCATTTCCATATTCTATAGAAATCAAACCTGATTCTTCTACTACAAAAGATGATGCTAGTTGGGGCCAATACATAAAGAAAATTCTTGATTAGCTTTACTCAATGTTCCTTTGTATATAATAGTCTAAACTTGTACTATATGTGTTTTTTCCAATACTTAATAAAACAAGTAGGAATACAAGAATTTAAATCAATACACTTACTATGAATTTAAACAAGAACATTCATTAAATACATATAAAAGTACTCTGATTATAAATTGGCACTGTATAGACCTTCTTCACCTCTAACCAAAATGCATTCATCTTCATAAACTACGTGATCAAAAACTCCGATCTTTTCAGCAATTTTCAAAACCTCTTCATCATAGCTACCAGGTTGGAACCATAATCCTTTAATTACGTCCTTGAATCCCTTTACCATAGTTATTTCCTTCAAAGTTGTAGCAGTAACGCCTGGAGGAGTTAAAAATGAAATACTGATACCATCATAATCACCAAGTTTATAAGCATTGATGTCCTTCTTGGAAACAGCAGCTTGAACAACATCCGGAACACTCTTCACTACTGGCTGTGCTAATATTTCGCTTTCTTTTGGGTTAACTGGGATCACTGGTAGACCGTGGCTGACATACCACAGTAATATCTTAAACCCAAACTTTCCTGGATTGTTAGAGGCCCCACTAACAACATAATGTCTATTGGAGCCAAAAAAAGCTTTGATTTTAGGTTTCATGGACATCTTGATAAAACCAATTTATAATAAACTTGTATTTGAAGAGTACCTAGTCGTCTTATTAATCAAATCATTTCACAAGCTTAACTTGATCAATAATCCGGGGATACTTTTTGGTGTTTGGGTGTATAAATGTCGTGTTAAAGCGAGTGACATTTTCCTTACATGAAGTAGATAAAAAAATTCCATTCGAATGAAAGGCACTTATGATATCTTCCTTTAACTAGCTAAAAGTATGGCTAAGGAAAAAAGGACTAAACCATGCTCTAATTGCAAGAAGTCAAAAGTTAAATGTATATACTCGAACAACTTACCATGCGAGCGTTGTGTTAAAATTGGACAAGCAGTTAATTGCCAATTTGTTCCAAAACTTCCTTCATTAAAACTTCCCCTGATACCTCCACAACCTCAAGCTATACGGCCAGCCCAAGATGATATACGACTTCCTCCATTGAACTCTTTTACAAATCATATCCAGCTTCCAGCTTCGCACCATCATCAAGCTAATGCAACTTCGTCAGACAAGTTACCGCAACGGCCCAACGCCATGACAGCAGCGAATAAAATAGCTGGAAATCCTCAACCACTTCAGAACCCCGCTGTAACTACTCTGGCACAGAATCCCATTTCAAACGCAATACCTCAATATATGGTGCAGCATGTACCGCAACCTAACATGTCAGTTTTGCCAAATGAAGATATATCCGAATCTGAGCAGCACTGGAAAACTCAGATGGAAAACAAAATAAATGGATTCGATAATAAACTTAATGATTTAGTTGATATCCTTAAATCAAATCAACGTTTTTTAATGGAAAACCAACAGAGATATGGTCAGCCACAATTACAATACCCTACATCTTACCCTCCTCAAAAGGGCCCCATAGATACACACGGACATTCTTCCTCACATGCTAATGCATCCCACATTTCCCATTATGATTCACTACCTAGTTCAAGACCATACTCACCCGATCCAACAAACGAATCCGTACCAAGTCAATATTATAACAGAGAACAATACTCACAGCATTACCCATCCCACAGTCTTCCCTCAAACGACTTTCCAAATACAAAAAGGCGTCATTCACACTATGTCGAAGATTCAAAGAAAAGACCCAAATTTATAGACTCTGATAGAGAATCTGACGACGATAAAAGAGATATTAACTATCCCAAAGACTTCCGAGATGGATTTTTAGACAAATCTCAAGCGAAAGAGCTATTTAAATTTTTTGATACCAATATATCTCCTCAACTATTTGGGTTTGAGATTTCAAGATTCCTGGTGGATTCTATTTGGGAATCCTCACCTATTCTCATATGTGCTATATGTACTATTGCATCCATGCATCATCCTGATCAGACTCTTTCTTCGAAGCTGTACAAACTTCAGGAGTACCTTCATATATCATGCAGTGAGTTACTTTACAAAGGAAGGCCTGTCAATGAACTTGATGGCTTCAATACAATTATGGCATTAATTCTTTGCAGCTTTTGGTTGTCAAACGCACAAATGTTTACCGGATTAGCTTTACAAATTGCTAAGGAGATTGGACTTACTGATTCTGTAACCAATCATAATTATAAAAAAAGTGGAGGTTTGAGTAAGAGAGACCGATTAAAATTATGGTATTTGTTATACGTCTTAGATGGACAACAAAGTTTGACTTTTAATAGGCAAAGATTGGTTAGCTCAGACGAATATTCCCTTAAGCATAGTAAAAGCATACTTATAAATGATAATTTAACTTCTTTAACTCACATGGAACGTTCTCCTTCTCAAATTGAAAACGGAGACACAGAGGCCACAAACAATAAAAACGAAGACTCTAAAAGTCAACCTAAAGATTCCGTTGTTACCATTAACAAAGAAGTTTCATCACAAAAATTTACGGATATGAGACTTGTATCACAAGTTGAATATAATCAAGCTTTAAATGAGGCATTTAGGGGCGAGGCTTGGGACCTATTAGCTCCCTCATCTTTGGGAATACCCTCGAAAAGTAATTTGGAATTAGATAGATGGATGGTTTCGTGGGCTGTCTTACTCTCACCGGTAAACAATGGGGCTGTCTGGTCTTCCAAGTCTACTCTTATCTATTACAATTTCGCCAAGATGCATATCAACTCTGCTGCTGTAAGGCAATTGAAAATGGATACTGGTGACGAGAATAGGGTCATTCTCCCTCGTTGGAATAATTCAACAAGCAATGGTCCAGTGAGAGCTAACTCGAAGGTCCATTTAGGAAAGAAGTTCAAAAACATTAAATCCACCAATGAAGAAGATTCGGACGATTCTTCAGACAGTGATGAAGATTTTGTATCCAACCATGAATTGATATCAGACAACGAAGCAATAGTCAGTGCAAATATTGCTGTTACTGCAGCTCAAACTGTGCTCAATCTTGTCTTAAATGATAAAGATATTCTAAATAACTTGAAATACGTTCCCGTCCACATTCATATAATGCTATATTACGCAGCATTATTATTGATCAACCCTCCTGTAGAGTCTGCTAATAAAGATGCTGATTCAAAATCCACCCATTTATTCAAAATGGTGAACAACTTGAAAATAGTCAAGATGTTGCAAAGAAAAATATATTTAAACTGCCCTACAGATAAAAGTTTCGGTGATCGATTAATAAGAAGTTTGGACGATCTATCTCAGGAAAAATTGACTAAACTCAAGGACGAAATTAATGATATCGGATCTGATGAGCCCTTAGATCCTGAAACTAAGTCTCAATTATTTAGACAATTGAGTGAAATTACAGAGGCTCTGTATTCTGAAAATATTACGGAGCTCAATAACAGCTCAGTAGATGGAAGCAGCAGAGGTTCTTCTCCTGGACCAGAAAAAATATCAGCATGGCCGGGTTCTAACCATGGTCACCCATAAAAAACTATTTTTATTATATATATTTGTGTGTGAATGTATATTCATATAATCGCATGCTTCTTCGTACTTTCTGTAAATTTGCGGCTCTTTATTGAGTTGATATGTTTGCTGCAAAAAAAAAGTTTGCAGCCACAAATCTCAATTAAAATAGTGATCCCTTCTAGAGTGAGTAATAACTCAGATGGTTCTCCCTCAGTCGCCAGGGCAGTCGCCAGGGCAGTCACCTAAGAAAACTTTGGGACTTATCACCAGTTTGACAGCAAAGCTTCATCTACCTGAAGATGCAGTTGTTTGCACAAAGGAGTATATGAATTGGGACTCATTGAAAAGAACTCCACAGCTTCTTAAACAGAAAGTCAACTTAGAATCGTATACAATCGACGAGGATTTTGATAACTTAAAGAATAAGCTTGAAGTTGCAGAAAGAAACCTAAAAGCCTTATCCAAGCATATTCATAGCTTCAAAGAGCAATTGTTTCAAAATATAGAGATCGCAACTACAATTGCAGAAACTTTAACCCAATTGTATGATCCACTCTTAAGCTTGCCTAAGGCTCTAAAAGCTGATTTGAATGAAAGAATGAAGTTTTCTAAAGGGAAGGATTACCTATCCTCACTTGATGGAGTTGAAATTACGGAATCTCAAAAGCAAGCGTTATTAATAGAGTGCAAGATTTGGAAGACCATTGGTGTGTATAAAAGCTCTATAGACGAAATCCTTCCGGCCATTAAACCAGAATTGGCTTTACTAGAAGAAATTATTAATAAGAAAGTGAATGAAGTTTTAAAGTTATTTGGTTTTATTAATAAGCATATTCAAAAAAGAGAGTACGTTAAATTGGATTATGATAAGGCGTATAATAATCATGAATCGTTATTGGTTAAACAAAAACAGAACGATTTAAGTTTCAAACAATCTCAACAAATATATAGTTTAGCAAGGAAAATGGACCAGTATAAGCAAGAGTATGATAGATTAAATGATTTCTTGAAAGAAGAACTTTCTTTTTTTTTCGGCTTTCTAGATGCTTTCTTGGATCCAATACAAACCATGATATACTTTGTTCAATTAATGGTTATCTACCAGTTTAGTCTCAACCTAAATACATTGCACGGTATATTCGACAGCACACCGGATGAGTTGGGAAAGAAGGATTTTATCGATGTTTTACTTTGTGAGTTTTACGAGAAGAACGAAAAAGCCTTAAACTCAATTGAAGATTTATTCATTGTGAAGTTTAGAAAACAGTATTTCCAAAATTTAACTTCGTCTTTAGCGACAACCAGCAATATCAAAGAAGATAAAGTTTACTGTACTATAAAATTTAGTTTCAATGGACAAGAACCGGGAGATCTCACCGTGCGAGCAGGTGATACTGTCAGGCTAATAGACTATGCTGGTGAGTGGTGGAAAGGAGAGCTCAACGGTGAAGCGGGAATCTTTCCAGGAAATTATGTCGTTAAAGAAGACTACGAATTTTTCGTGAAGAAAAGCATGAATTAAAAAATGCCTAAATGGAATATATAGGGTATCATAAATAATATCGTAATATAAGTCGTTAATCGTTGATTAATTAAGGGGAAGCAGAATCAAAAATACTCCTGGTCGATTAATGTAGACCTCTCCCATTTTTTTGCACACATACCCGAGCAAAATTGCCTCTTAATTGGGACATCTTTATTTTGTAAGAAATCCCACCATTCGATACTTTCAGCTACTGGTTCAACAACAATTCTATCACATTCACTACAGGACTCTTCATATTGACCTTTAGAAATTGCTGATGCGATTACGCTGTGAAAAATTTTAGGAGTGTGTTTTTTCCAATTTTTTGTTTCTTGGTAAGTGACATCGTAATTGGCAATTGTATCAAGACATAAGTTTTTCAAAGATGGCACTAATTTTTTGCTTTCCGTTTTCCACTTTAAAGGAGTGAAATATTTTTTGGTCTTGAACAGGTTTACAGTAACTGTCTTCACTTCTATAGCATCATCAGGAATTTTCATGTAAGGATTTGGACCAGCTCTAAATGTAGAAAGATTAGGCAAATCCAAGATTTGTGGAGGTAAGTATTCTAACTTGTTAGTTCCCAAGGAAAGATCAACTAGATTTTCCAATTTCCTTATAAGTGGAGGTATTCTTGATAATTTATTTTGACGTAAACCCAAAACATTTAGTTTTGTGAAATTGAATAAAGATGGAGGTAATTCGTCGATTTTATTATTAGTGAGGTATAATTGGTAAGAATTTTGAGTAGGAGCATCGAAATCAAAAATGACTAAGTTATCAAAGTCCTTAATTTCTTCGGGGATTTGTCGTATTCCCAATCCTTCTAAATGGATAGTGGTGTTCATATCTTCGAAAGCACCAATCACAATTTGTCTTGCGTTTTCATGAACTTGTCTTTGCTGTTCTTCGTACTCTTCAGTATCCAAATTTTTATCAGTAGATGGACAATTTGTAGTAGCCTTGAATCGATTGAATTGGTCAATTCCGAAGTCGGCATCAGAACTCATATTATCAAGACGGGATCTTTTTTTCTTAGATGATAACTCATATATTAAAGATTTAGCACTATTGGGCTTGTGATCATTCAAATCAAGTTCATGGTATTCTTGGTGGTTGATTTCACTCGGAAAATTATGGGTTGGAGAATCTGGAACATTATAATCAGATGTCCCAATGTCAAACTCGGAATGTATCTGAGGTTCCAAAGTTGGACTACTCGGTAAGTGAGACCAGGTTTTCTTGCCAAAGCCGGGATCGGGGTGACTTGATTCTGATGTTCTGTCAAACCCATCTTTATAGTCTCTGGATTTGAATTCTTCACCACCAGTATCCTCGTCAGTCTTTGCATCTCCATCGATTAATGTTGGATCGTCGCCAAAATCATTGAAAAAAGTATCTCTTCTTTTGATATCATCCTTCTCATTAAAACTCTCTCCCATTTTACGCTTCAATCCGGGATGAACTTTCAAAGTAGGGCCTTTTCGTTTGGTTTCGGGAGTAACCCTCGTGTGATACATGCTGCTAGCGTTTTCATCAATGATCTTTCGGTTTCTGGGAGTTGTGTTCAATGGCACCTTTTCATCAAATGATGACGTCGAGAATGCAAATGGAAGTAAAGGGTTATTCTTGTCCATTTTGAATGTCAATAACCTAGGACTCAAGACTAGAGCTAGAAAAGCTTTTAGAAATGTTTGAGCTTAATTTTGATTTTGATTTGTAAAACGTAAACATCAAAAAAAAAAAAAAAAAAAAAAAAAATCCGCGTTCTTTTTTTTTAGGTCTTGTTTTGGAAGAAGGTTCCAAAGCAAAAGACGGCCAACTCTTGTTTCTGATTGGCTCAAGGATAACCCAGAGACAGGAAAGGCACCAATACTGGAGTATCGGTCAGTAGAAATAAGGTGCTAGCCAACGTGAAATTAGTGAAGAGCGAGGTAAGGTGGATGTTCTGCTACCTCTTTATTAATGGATTCTTTGCAGGGAGTCCATGATTTGCTTTGAACATTGAGCGAATAGCTTCACTATCGCAGTCAGCTATCCAGATATGTTGTTTATGTAAATTAGTGCTCTGTGCTTTAGTTGGTTGTAAGTGTTCTAGATTAGAAGTGACAAAAAACAGACAGTTGGTTGAATGGCTGCAAAAATAAAGGTCTTACCCGGATTCGAACCGGGGTTGTTCGGATCAAAACCGAAAGTGATAACCACTACACTATAAAACCGCTTTGATGACTGAAAAATATGTAAATTTTATATCATGACAAGTGTTTTACTTAGTATAAAAATCTCATTAATTTTTTTTCCCGGGATCCCAGATTTTCCCGGGACCTTATTCCAGACGAGTTTCTCACCCATGTCTATTTAGAGTGCCGTGCAACTTATCTCATTTGGGCTTACTGCCAGTATCCTTCGACACAAAATATCCCTGACAGAACTTGGTCTCTTTTTATAGCCAATGCTTCTCTGGACACCAANCAAATCCGAACTATTAATAGATACCACCTGATCCTTTTAAAAGTTCAGGACTTTCGACTATCGCAGAAGCAGGAGTCGGAAAGACTTCCTGCATTACGCAGAAAGGCTGCGAAAAAATTGGTATCTTATTATATTTCTGCACTCAATCTATAAATTAAACTAAGTAGTTCCTCTGGGAACTCAACTCAACCAGCCCCAACCACTTCTATCACATCACTTAATTCAACATGGGTTTTCTTGACTAAACATAGTCTTTCCCACTCTAGGTATATATTAGTAAATAGTTATTAAATATATATTCTTATACGTCAAAAAAAAAAAAAATTTTTATATTTGTATTTTGAAGTAATTTTTATCATTAACTAAGTTTTTTCGGTATTAAAAATTACATATTTATTATTTTCTAACTGCTTGGAATTTTTTAGTGTTTTTTTTTTTCAACATTTAATGTGCTGACACCATTGAAAACATATTGAGCAGTAGAAGAAACTACTAGCATCTAAATGCTGAGCAACATTCTCACGCTGCTTTGAAATGTTCAAGAATTTTTGTGACGTGCGAGGCTTTTTGCTTACACCAATAAAGTCTTAGGTGTAACCCTTGTGGAACATATAATTAATCAGGTACTCATATTTAAAAGCACATAATGAGCCTGTGCTCAAACAATTTATTTGAGCTATTCATACTTGTTAGGTGCAATGCGGATAAAGAAGATATTAAAATTAAAATCACTTTTGTTGGTAGAACTTATCTTTTGCAATAAAATACATCAAGCTTTTTTCAAAGTTTTCTCAGATTTTTAAATTTTCTCTACTAATTTTAAAAAAACTATTACTATGTAAATGTTATAATTCAAAGTACTCTAAATGACTCCATATATATTAATCACTTACGACGTTTACTTTCTAAAGATTCTTACGACGTTTACTTTCTAAAGATTCTAACTCTTTTGCACTATAGTAATGTGGTGCTAGCTCACTTAACCACTTTTCATCTATCAACATGCAATTCCTCATGTACTCCTTACTTGTTAAAACTAGCTCATGATACAACATGAGTTTAGGCGGTGGCTTCACCGAGTGTAAGGATGATGAAGGATGTATGAAAATAGGCTGATTTTTTTTCAACGAACGATACGAGTCACCCATCTTGGATAATCTAGCGATATGCGGGAAGAATCCAGAGGTGATGGCTTTTTGAATTTTCATAGTCTTGTTTTCTGTTGGATCATCCTTATCTGTTTCAATTCCTATCCTATTGCATAATCTTGACAATTGTTCCCTGATATCTCTGGCTCTTTTCAAAGCTTTATACTGTATGAAATGGTCTTGACACCAGATATTCGAATATCCAGTTTCAACCCATTGCTCCCAAATATTCAACAATGTCAAATGATCCCCAAATTCTTGATTAAACGCTTCTTTCTTTTTGTCAGCCTGCTCCTTCTTGTCCTTGGGCCTATAGAATAGACTTGAACTTTCTGATAGTAATGAAATAATACTTATTATCGCATCACTAACACCATAGTCAGCACTCTTAATTAAACATTTAGAAAACATTGGATCAATAGGAAATTCAGCCATTTTCCGCCCTGTTTTAGTCAAGTTTCCTCTCGAATTTAAAGCACCAAGAGCATACAATAAGTCTAACGCTTTCATAAGAGTGTTCAGGCTAGGTGGGTCCATGAAATCAAAGCCAATTAAATCTGTGATTCCTAATGAAAGTAACATTAACACGATAGAAGTTAGATTTACCCTTAGTATTTCAGGAGTTGGATTAGATTGTAACTCATTATAAAAAGACCATTTAGTGTATAATCTAAAACACTTCCCTGGTCCAACTCTACCGGCTCTACCAGCTCTTTGATCAGCAGATGCCCTGGAACAAGGAACAACAACTAAGCTTTCCATTCCAGTACTCGGATTATAAACATTCTCTTTAACATAACCCGGATCTATAACAAATGATATACCATCAATAGTGATAGAAGTTTCAGCAATGTTAGTCGCTAAAACGACTTTTCGGGAATCTGGAGGTGTAGGCTCAAAAATTCTTTTTTGTAAATCTGGAGGTAGGTTTGCATAGATAGGAGCCACTATTAAATCATTTATCAGGTTACCTAGTTTTTCACGAGCTTCATTCAAAGCTTCCTCCATAGATTCAATCTCTTCTTGACCGGTGAGGAACACAAGAATATCACCTTGCATGTCTTGAGTTGTATGAATTTGAAAAATTGTAGTTATAGCAGCTTGAATATAATTTGCTTCAGGATTTTTAGTGTAATGGATTTCAACTGGGAATCGACGCCCAGGGATATTGAAAATTGGTGCTCCATTGAAAAAGTCAGAGAATTTTTTAGCGTTAATAGTAGCAGATGCAACAATTAACTTGAGGTCAGGGCGAATTTTTATGATGTCTTTCAAAAGACTCAAAATAATCTCAGTTGAAACTGTTCTTTCATGAGCTTCATCAATCATAATAGCTCCATATTTCAGCAATTCAGGATCAGTTAAAAATTCTCTCAAAAGCATACCATCGGTTAAATATTTTACTATTGTCAGAGGACTAGAATTGTCATCAAATCTAACATTGTAACCAACTTCTTCACCTAGTTTGCAACCCATTTCATCAGATACTCTTGCAGCGACAGACGTTGCTGCAACTCTACGAGGTTGAGTACAGCCAATGACAAGGTTTTCGCCCTTTTTACCTTTCGAATATCCAGCTTCATTAAGGTATTGTGGTAGTTGGGTTGTCTTACCTGAACCAGTTTCACCAACCACAATCAAAATTTGGTGTTTTTCGATTGACTGCAAAAACGAATCCCGGAGTTTATAGACTGGCAAAGACTTTCTAGTTTCTGCTATATCGTGCCTTTTAGAATCAAGATTCTCTTCAACTTCTTCTTCATCACCAGAAAGTCCATCCTCGTCATCAGTAAATTCAACAAACTGAGAATCATCAAAAACAAACTCATAATCTTTTTGATCGGCTAATTGTATTTGATCAGATTTTTCTTGCGATACCCCAGTTATATTTTGAGCTTTTTTCAATTGATCTAATTCCCATTGATTTTCATAACGGTTCTTCTTTTCAAAATCCTTGTTTTTCGAAAATATTTCCGAGCCTTGAGAATCATCATATTTTGACTTTGCATTAAGCGTTTCATATTTACGTTTCCTATCTATTTTACCTTCATGAGTAACATACTCTGACGGTAAGCTATATAGATTATCGATATTAGAAACATTTTCTGATAACTCTTCTCGTTCCTTCATTAAGTTATAAGCCTTCAATTTATGACTATACTCTTCTCGTTCTTTTGAGGTAAGGTCTGTTTTGGTAGATAGATCTTTCAATTCATTTTCGAGCTCTTTTAACTTGGTATCGAATCTTCTTTTTAAATACTGCTTTCTGGTCTGTATTCTAGCTTGATCATAGTCTATCTCTGGGTTTGCATTTGATTGTTGAGCTGTAGACAGTGCTGGTTCAGACTCCAGGATTGAGGCAGGATTGGATTCGGGGATGGGTTTCTGTGACTTTACTTCCTCCGGTGAAACTACTTCATCTTCCCACTCACCGTTATACTGTCTTCGTCTATGTCTGGCTTTTCCCGACTGTATATTGGATTGTTCCATTGATTAGATGAGTTCAGAGTAATTCAAAAGTAGTACGCAGTTTTCATTTTGCCCTAAAAATTAGGTTTTTGCATTTTTAGTACTGAAAAAAAAAAAAAATTCGAAGATCATCTCAAGAAGACTTGGGCCCCCAGTACAACCAGGAAACCTTTTTAGGTTATTACTTTGAGCCAGACTATACGACTTTGATTCAAATGTCTTTAGACCAGCCAATAGAAAAGAGAGGGAGAAGATCCTCACGTATAGCACCGGATCACGAAGATTCGTTTTTCACTCCGAGTCCAATGCATTCTGATAAGAACATGAAAGTTCAGGAATCAGATAAAAGAATTGATTCACAACACAATAAGGACGAATCTGATATATATATACCACCATGGACCGAGCCTTATATTATTGGGGTCGCTGGGAATTCAGGATCCGGGAAAACATCAATATCACAGAAAGTTATTCAAGAATTGAATCAACCGTGGACTGTTTTATTATCATTTGATAATTTTTATAAGCCATTGACTCCAGAAGAATCAGTAAAGGCTTTCAAAAATGAGTTTGATTTTGATACACCAACATCCTTAGATTTAGATTTATTAGTTGATACGGTTAAGAATTTGAAAAAGGGTAATAAGACCGAAATCCCGGTGTATTCTTTTGCTAAACATGCAAGAACCGATAAAAAAACCACCATTTATGGAGCCAATGTTATTATCATTGAAGGAATTTATGCATTATATGATCAAAGATTATTAGACTTGATGGATATAAAAGTCTATGTTGATACGGATTTAGATATCTGTTTGTCACGTAGATTAACTAGAGATATTTTATTTAGAGGACGTGATTTATCAGGAGCAATGAAACAATGGGAAACATTTGTTAAACCTAATGCAGTTAGGCACGTTAACCCAACCATGAATAACGCTGATTTGATTATACCAAGAGGATTAGATAATTTAACTGCCATTAATTTAATGATTAAACATATACAAAAACAATTAAGTATTAAATCGACATTACATTTAAAAAGATTGAAACAATTAGGGATTAGAAAAGAATTTAAAATTGAAGATTTTGCTAAAAATGTTACAGTTTTACCTAATAATAATCATACAAAGGGAATTCATTCGATATTATTTAATGAAAATACTGAAAGATCAGACTTTATATTTTATTTTGATCGTATATCGATATTAATAATTGAAAATGCAATTGATCAATTAACAAATTATGAACCAATTACTATAAAAACTGGTACTAATTATGAATTTAAAGGTATCAAACCTAAAGAAGAAGTTATTGCAGTTAATATAATTAGATCAGGAGATTGCTTTATGAACTCAATTAAAAAAACATTCCCAGAAATCACTATTGGTAAATTACTTATACAAAGTGATTCATTAACTGGAGAACCACAACTTCATACTGAGTCATTACCTAAAAGAATAGATTTAATACCAAATAAGAAATTTTTCTTATTTGATGCTCAAATTATAAGTGGAGCTGCTGCTATTATGGCAATTCAAGTTTTAATTGACCATAAAACTAATCCTTGTGATATAGTATTATGCTCTTACTTATGTACCGAAATTGGATTAAGGAGGATTTTAAATGTTTTTCCTAAAGTTAATATAGTAATTGGTAAATTAAGTTCAATTGATGAAGAATCTAACTCTACTAATAATAATGAAAAGAAATGGTATAATGAGGAAGGATTTAAAGATACTGATTGGCATTTCAGAACTCGTTTTATTGACTCGTTATACTTTGGTACAGAATGAAACGCTACATTTTTTATATAACATGATAAAGGTATATTAGTATTCGTAACGACATAAAATTAAGAATGAAGAGAGTCATCGATATATTTTGGATTTTGAAATCTCAACGAAACCGAAGGTTTCCGATGATGATTTCTAAAAGTATTTGTATTCAATTCAATTTGACCTTCAGTAAAATATCGACATGTACTAGTATTAGGTTCTGGTAATGAAGAGCGACGACAGTGAATCTTTTGATGTAAACTATTTAAATCACAAATAGAGTATTTACTTACCTCATTACCATTCAGAGTACGGATCGAAGCCAGTGGAATCGAATCAGATAATGATTTTGCTTTTCTTAAAGGAGGCACTGAATTGGGCCTCAAGCTATTTGAATTTAACAAATTAACTGAACAAGTAGTAGAAGACGTAGAAATTGGCTCTTTTTGCAAACAAGGAGTCGACTTATCAATATGAGAATGTGACAAGTCAACCAAAAATGCTGTCAATGGTTGATTTGACACGCTTCTTGGTGATTCTCTATCAGAATCTGGATATGAATTGGTCCCAGCAGATTCAACTGCCAATGAAAACTTTTTACGATTATTATTATGATTATTATTGTTAGTATGATTGCTTGTAATTGAAGTCATGATGCAAAGTTCAACAACAAGTACATTATCCATAGATGATAGCCATAAAAATTCATTAACAAAGGACTGATCTTCTTGTATTTATACAAATTCCAGAGGGCTACTCCTTGCAGGTCCATCGCCTGACTTTTTCACTTTTTGTAGGGTCTTTTAATCTCGCTAACAAAACAAAAAAAAAATGCTAACAAAACAAAAAAAATTGCTAACAAAAAAATAGCAAAAAAAGATTTTGTGGGGATAGGAACCTTGTTGCGGAATTCAAGGTTAACGGGAAGCGTGTTTGATTGTTCTAGGTTAAGCAGATAATACATAAAGGTAACGTTGCTTGGGTCAGCTGTAGAATGAACGTTAGATCAATAACTTAGTCATACAGATAAAACTAATATACAAACTTTTATTAAATAAATAGAGGGTTGCAAAATTGCTAATTTTTATAAGTAGCAACGAATTTTTTATGGAATTCCTCCCAACGATGAATCCAATCAGTACCAGGAGGTAAAAAGGTTGTTCTTAAGTGGTAAGTATTTGGAACTTGACCAAACCCACTACCAGGAACGGTACAGATACCAGTAGCTTCTAATAATTCTATACAATATAATTCATCAATTTCACAATCTTCATTTTTGGCTTTTGAAAATAATTTTGGATAAGTTAATTTATCAAAATTTAATTTTGGGAAAAGGTACATTGCACCTTGAGGTTTATTACAAGTTACATCTTGCATGTTATTGAAAGCAGTGTGTAAAGTTAATGCTCTTTCTTTTAAATTATTATAGATGGTTGAAGTTTGCTCTTTAAATAAAGGTAAACTATCATCGTGAGGAGGATTAACCATTAATTCAACAAGAGCTTGACCACTAACCACCGAACATAAATTGATCGAGCATAATTTAAGTATAATTGACTTAACTTCCGGTTCAAAACCAACTAATTCCATATACCCACCTCTTTGACCACATTCACCACCAAGTCCTTTTGAAGTTGAATGCAAAGAAGCCAATTGAACATGTTGGTACAATTCTGGATGTTGTCTAATCATTGATGATAATACTTTTTTGAAAGAGATGAATTCTCCATCATAAACATTATCTTGATAAACTTCATCAGCAATGATTACAATCCCAAATTCTGCAGCTATATTAATGATTTCTTTAATATCATTTTCTTTCAAAACCGAACCGGTTGGATTACCAGGATTTATAACCACCAAAGCTTTCAAATCGATATTTTTTGATTTATTTTCTTGAATTAAATGACGTAATTGTTTTGGATCAGTCAGCCAATTATTTGATTCATCTAAGAAATATCCAATTGGTTTAGCATTATTTAATGCAATCGATGCAGTATATAAAGGATATTGAGGAATTGGAATTAAAAATCCACTACGTTCATTAACACTTAATAATTGTAATAAATATTGTACTGCAGCTGATGCACCGGAAGTTAAATAAATATCATTACGATTTGCTTGAGATCCTCCATCTCTTCGATTTATATAATTTGCAATTGATCCTCTTACTAATAAACTACCTTGAGAATTAGAATATGCCCCCACTGATCCAACGTCTTTTAATATAACTTTAGCTCTTTCAACGACATCTTGGGGGTAGTTTTCGGTATTAATCGATGGGTTTTCCAAAATTGATAACACTTGTCTATACCAAGTTAATGGTTGTTGATCTAATTGTTGTGGATTCCCGATATTTGCAAAAATAATCTCATTAAATGGTAGATTATGATCTTCATTTCTTTCAATTAATTTTTTCAATTCTTCTGCTCTTTGAGGTATTTTACCTCTAACTGCGTATTTGGCTTCGATTGTACGTGGATTCAAGTCTTGGGTATTCAAAGGTGGTGCAGGTGTGAAATGACCAATAGTATAGTTTCTACTTATACTTAATGAACTTTTAGCAAGTGTATCTAGACTCAATGGTCTAATAGTTAACGTTTTAAGCATTATGGGATATGTCGGAAACAACTTTGGGGAATTAAAAAACTTTTCGACAAACGTGGAAGCTCTCAATATACACTCAAATAACTCAGCTAAAACAAGCTCCAATTGAATAACTCAGAAGTTTAATTAAAGAACCGGAGTATTCCCTGACTCAATTTTCGCTCGAATTTTTTTTTTTTCACCTCAAGCTTTTTTTAACCTTTCACTATAATACGCGGATTAGAGATCACGAGATAGTTACATTTATATAAGAAGAAGAGCCTAGTGTCAGAGCCTAGTGTCATGGGGAGCCACCAGCAGATTGCGGAACTGGAGTTCCCCAGTCCCGTTTTCCCTTTCGACCTAAAACAGTAATGTCTTCACCCGCTAAACAGGCTTCTTTTTGTGAAGCCAACCACACCGACAAACAAGCTTTTTCTGACTACAGTGATTGATTACGGTCCATCACATCCGCTGCGTCCATCACGTTTCATTCCGGGTGTTCTGGTGCTGTGCTGGGGTGCTGGGGTGCTGGCGTTGATGGACGTAGAATACCCTGGGCTGTCCGAGACTTGCATAACTGGTATGTTGCAGTCATTTTAACTGCAAATTTTTGAAACTTGCAGTGGAAGCCAACATCTAACTGGATCTGTCAGGCATTCGACGAGTTAGTCGGCTTCTTATTGACGTGTTCCGTCTTCTTGACAGCTAAAACGGCGAATTTAGCGCTAACACAACCCATCCACCATACGATAAGGCCCCAGTCTTCGGAATTTAATCTCAGATAATGAAATCTGGGGTATTTCTGTGTAGCTTGTAAATAAATAAATAAATAATGAAAGGAATGCCTTCACTGAAAGGGGCCTTTTATTTGCACGGAGATTAACCACCGACGAGGGAGCTGCGGTGGTATACTTCCGAGTGGGGTTGGAACCGGCAATTAATATCCGTAATAAACATTGCAACCGTCGCAGAGAAAAGCCCGTACACCAGGATTTTTCATTACTCCGTTTGTCCGGTCTGCAAAACCACAAATTGCAGCCAAAACCTGATATTGATTACACTAATTATTGGGTATACTGATTATTATATGGTTATACTGATTATTATATGGTTATACTGATTATTATATGGTTATACTGATTATTATATGGTTATACTGATTATTAT